CAGCGAGGTTCTCAGTGACCTCTCTCTGGGATTGAGCTCAAGTTCTCATAATGGTGTAAGTTTGTTGGAAGACAGAAAACAAGATTGTACAAGTGCAAGTACAAATATACTGTCAAGTCCAGGCCTACTCTGACCAACTCTGATGCTAGGCAAGGGCTGGGGAGAGGTTCAGAAGCAAGTCTGACAGAAAGAACTGAACTCTGACTGGCAGAGTGTTGGCAGGAACAAAGTCTGCCAAGATAAAGGCAGAGCAGAGTGAGGGCATTGGGTTTAGCTTGTGTGCTACCCCCTTGCATGATCTCAGCCCTCATATTTCAGAGGGAGAGTACAGATGGACAGATGGAGGTAACTCCAACAGACAGAAGATGGAGACAGAGGGAGTAGGAACTAAGTCAATATTCATACCAAGGAACAGCAGAGTATGGTACATGCTTTTATACTACTATGGAGGTACAGTAATCAGAATCAGAACTGACATATGGAGACCCAGAAATTTTCAAATAAAACTTCCTAGATGACAATTGAAGGGTAGATGGAGGACATACAAATGGGTAACATAGAAGATCCAGAAAAGGAAACAGTCCAGGTGCTGGACCATGCAGTGCACACACTGTGGAGTACCTGACTGCATGCTGTCAGGGAGGAGTCTGAAGGTAGTCACATGACCCCTCAGAGAATGGTCCATTCAGTCCAGTAGGAGAGCAACACAAGTCCAACAGCCATTGGAGTGGAGATGGTTTGTAACCGACAGAAGTTGGGTGAGTTGGTGTGGAGTGAGTGAATGACCAGTGGAAGAGGGTGCAGAGTGAGTAAGGACTTAGAGTGAACACATGGTTATGACACCCATGACCTCACCACCTTTGGTACCCTGCTCAGACTGCATCAGCTTACTACTCTGCTGCAAGGTCATGCAAATGCAGTCTAGGTATACCAGGGAGCTGCCACATTCATGCTTCAGGATGAGATCCCACATCATACCTTACCCTTTATAGATGATGTCCCCATAAAATCCAAGACCACCTGCTATCAGTGCACAGATGGTTCCTATGAGACTATCCCAGAGAACCCTGGGATTCAGAAATTTATCTGGAATCACTGTATAGTCATTAACCACATCCTTCAGCATTTGCAGAACATCAGAGCTACCATCTCAGCAAAGAAGTTCATCCTAGCCACTCCCTCTGCTGTGATCATTGGCCACAAGTGCACCTTTGAAGGTTGTGTTCCTGAAGAAAGCAAAGTGCAGAAGATCCATGACTGGCCCAAGTGCTGCAACCTGACTCAGGTTCACAGTTTCCTCAGTGTCTGCAGTGTCCTCTGCATCTTCATCAAAGACTCTGCCAAGATTGCCTGGCCACTAGTTGCTCTCACTTGGAAAGACATACCATTCACATGGGACAAGCCACAATGCACTGCCATGCAATGACTCAAGGATGAAATCATAAAGTCCCCTGCACTCCAGCAGATTGACTATGAGTGCAGTCACAAAGTAATTTTAGCAGTTGACACTTCAGTCATTGTAGTTGGCTACATCCTCTACCAGCTTGGCAAAGATGGTAAATGGTACCCTAGTTGCTTCAGATCCATCACCCTCAACAAAGTGGAAAGCCACTACTCCCAGGCAAAGCTTGAGTTGTACAGCCTCTTCTGTGCATTGCGTGCAGTACACATATACATCTTCAGTCTCACTAACTTCACCATGGAGGTGGATGCAAAGTATATTAAGGGCATGATAAATAACCCAGATCCACAGCCTAACATGACAATCAATTGCTGGATTGCTGGCATCCTCCTCTTTTCATTCAAACTTGTACACATTCCCATGGATAGGCATGCCAGCCCTGACAGCTTGTCCTGCCATCCATGGCTGGAACTCAACCCACCCAAGGATGACAACCACAAGGATTGGTTAGACCCTTTTTACTCTTTCTCTACAGAGACTGTCAATGACTGCCTACCTCCTACATCTTTTTCTAATCAAGATCATCATTACTTGCCACCACCTGCTTTCCATCAGGCAAGCCTCCTGCCACCTACATCCTTCTACCTCACATTCTCTGTGACTGTCCATGCTGATAACCCTTCCAATACCCCTGATGACCCTGCCATCCTGCAGTCTGCAAAAGCTTGGGCACATGAGGCAAAGATAGAAATGATCTGCACATTCCTCATGACCCACAAATGGCCTCCTGACTTTACTGATGCACAGTACTCCTCCTTCTTTAATTCTGCCAGCCACTTCTTCCTTCTAGATGGCAACTTATGGCATAGGGAACTGCATGGATGGCACCAGCTAGTTGTCAATGAGTCCAAGCAGTATCACCTCATCAAAGAAGCACATGATGACCTCAGACACAAAGGTGTTTTCATGGTCCATACCCACCTTCTCCTCTGCTTTTGGTGGCCTCTGCTTGTTGAGGATGTGAAATGGTATGTTTGCACTTGTCACAAATGTCAGATCTGCCAGACACAAAAGCTTCACATACCTCCCACTGTGCCCATGATAGGGGGCCTCTTTCATAGAGCTCACATTGACATGATGCTAATGCCCAAAGCTGGCAGCTACCACTATGTAGTACAGGCTAGATGCGCACTCACCTCATATCCAGAGTGGTGCATGTTGTGTGCGGAAAATAGTACCATGCTCACATCCTTCATCTTTGAGGACATCCTATGCCACTGGGGTCTGCTCACCAAAATCATCACTGACAATGGTCCAGCATTCATTCAAGCCTTGGATGCCCTAGCCATGCAATATCATATCTGTCACATCTGAATCTCTCCCTACAACTCTCAGGCTAATGGCATTGTAGAGTGTTGCCACTATGATGTCCCCAAGGCTATCATGAAGAGCTGCAAGAACAACAACTGCCACTGGCACACTGTTGCACACTCTGTGTTCTGGGCCAAGTGAGTCACAATCCTGAAGTCCACAGGTTTATCCCTTTACTTCATGGTGCATGGTGTTGAGCCACTATTCCCATTCGACCTCACTGAGGCCACTTTCCTTTTGCCACTATCCCACAATGATGCAACACTGCTGACTACCACAGAACTGATTGCCTGGCATGCACACCAGTTGCAGAAGTGTCAGGATGACCTAGACAAGGTCCTCTGTGCACATTTCCAGTCTGTCCAGCAGTTCAAAGCTGCCTTCTCCACTCACATCAAAGACTATAACTTTGCTCCCAGTACCCTCATACTTGTTTGCAACTCCCACATAGAGAAAGAACTGAACTGGAAGACAAAGCCACAGTACACTGGTCCCATGGTCATTCTTTGTCAGACCACTGGGGGCTTGTACCTGCTGGCTGAGTTGGATGGCTCCATCTCCAAGCTCCACTTTGCTGCATTCTGCCTCCTTCCATATCACCTGCAGTCTCAAACCCATGCAACTGTCACTCACATTACTGGGTTGGACAATGAAGAACTAGACCACCTTCTTGAGGAGGCTGAGGATGACCCCACTGATGACAAGGTAGAGGCTTTTGCCTCAGACAGCTGACTTTCCACCCTTTCCAGCACCCACAGCCTGTCCATTGTGCCCTCCCCTTCTTTCCTTCCTACTTGCCTCCATACCCTCTCCCTTGATACCCCTACCTCCTTCTGCAGCTTCACCCTCCTCTCTGCAGCTTCTTCCACTGCCCTTGTTCCTTCTCCTGTGCTGACTGGGGACAGTCAGCATTCAAAGTCCCCCACAGGGGTGACCCACATACCACTCAATACCAAACATAGTTCATTTCTCCTTATTTGTTTTACCCTGTGTTTCATCTGGAGACCTCTGTTCCACCCTGGGTTTCATCCAGTGATCCTACTGATAGCTATTCCTCACTCAAAAAAACATAAAAACTGCTAACAAACAGTCAAAAACCATCCAGAAAAATAACAAAAATAAGTATATAGCTAAAATAATGTTTCTCCTATCTCTCTTACTAGTCTTGCTGATACCATCCTTGGCCACTCTATACTGCAGATACTCACAACTAAGCCATGCATTCCCTCTTTGATTGCACAGTCAGTGTGCACCCCTTGATCCTTTTTCCTTTCAGTTTATTCTCCATCTCTGTCATGACCATGTCCAGACTACTCTAGACTGGCTCTACCCTGGTCTCAACCAGTCTCATCCAATCCTTGCCCTGGTCCCAGCCTTTACCCTTAGACCCAGAAATGTGTTAGCTTGTGAGGCACTGCAAGGCAGTGCCCAGTCAAGTTGTCTGCTCAGTTGATACCAGACCAGTGTAACACCTGGCCCAGCCACAAGTCCTGCCCTGGTTCCTGGTAATCCCTTTGTTCATACTTTTGCTTGATAATATTCTTTGTAACATTACTTACCAGTCAGTTTACCAATCATCACTGTACTGGTGCAAACTGGTCTCTGGTGCTATGTTACACCCAGGTTACTTCTAGTATTTAAGCCATAGGGTAATCTGTTTTAGCCTCAGTCTGAAATCAACTTAGTCTTGTCTAGCCCAGTCTCTCTAATCTCTGACTTCTGCCTCTCAACCAGACTACAGTCCACACAAGGGAATAGCACTGCAACCCCAGTCACTAAGTCCAGCAGTCCAACCTCCTAGTTCCTAGTCTACCCCCCTGACCCCAGACCAGACTCCAGACCAGCCTTGGACCAGTGAAGACCCAGACTTAACAGTCTCCTTACATTTAATACCCAAAGACTGTCCCAGTTACCCAATAAACAGTCCTTTTGTTCTCTCTTCAAGACATTGTCACATCTTACTGTCAACACCATACTATGAGGACTCATCACTAAGAGAAGTTGAAAGTTGCACAAAGAAGACAAGTTGGGCAGTACCCCATGCACTCTATGATACCACAGCCAGTCCAAGGCCAGTTCTTCACTAAGTGAACACCAGTTGTTTACAGTTCCTTACATTGCAACCACATGGGACAAGAGCAGGTGTGACATTCTCCCATGCATAAGGTGCAAGGCAGATGGAGTACAAAGGTGGATGCAGAAACAAATGAGTATACTATGCAATTAGCTATTCTACCCCCAGCTTTGCCAAGGCCTCTGCCAGCTGCTCAACATGGACCTGCAGATGGAGGTTGGCCACATGTGCAGCCATGGCCTCAGCCCTTACCAACCCAAGTGCCTGTGACAGACCTGTGGCAGTCTTCTCATCTACCCCACCATGCATGGGGGCCTTACCCTTCCCACATGCATGGGTCTCAACCACCTCCACATCATTGTCATGGGCCCATTTGGATGGACTGGCCTTCAGTACCTTGGTTGATTGTGCTGCACCTTGTTAACATTGGATGTGTCAAAATGAGGTCACTACCCACCTGTTGATGCACCGGCCTGCAACCTTTTGCCAGCTCCCTTGCTGGACTTCTCACATCCTTGCTTCATCTTTGTGCATCTGTCACACATCTTGCTGCTTGGCCCAATGCATGGCATTCCCTTAATGGTACACTGTGCACAGGGCACCACATGCAGTACTGACCCAGGGGGGATGGATATCTTTGGCCTGTCATCATCATCACCCCCAGCAACAGCCTGCTGAGATCACTATATTGCCATAGTGTCAGTAAAACTATCCAGTGAACCTGCAGAGACCTACCTTGTGTGCCAGCTGAGGGACCTCCACATGCATCATCCTTTCCATTGCAACTGGCACAGCAGCACTAACCCCCTGCCCCTCAATGCCCTGCGAAGTCTCCTCCTTCATCCACACATCCTTGTCAACCCTGAGCCACATGACCTCCTCTGCCACCCACCACTCATATGCCTCATCTGCCTCTGCTACCACTGGCCCATCTGCCACATCTATCTTCATGTCGATGTCAAGCTCTCTGCTGCACTCAACAAGTGGGAACACCTCACCCTGGAAAATGATCAATGCTGTGAGTCTCCATCAAACTGAGCACTTACTGATCACTTCTCCCACCATTGCAGCCACATTATTTTCTCCTCTCACAGGTCCTTTCTGTCATCTGGCATACATTTGGCCTTGGTGACCAGTGCCATGGATGCAGCAACAAACTTCACCTTCAGAGCAGCCTTCTCTGCTTCAATTGGGTTGGGGGTGGCTGCACATATGAGTTGGGAGAGACAAGGGGCACAGTTGGCAGACATGATGAGAGTAAGAAAGACAATTGATGGGGGGGGAAGAATCAAATCAATGCAAAGGTTTGAGCCATGCACTACCAATTATATACTTAGCAGCCATGAGGCACTTATGTCACCAGTCTGGACACCTATACATGGCACTCAATGGTCTTCTCATGTTCCTTGGCTCCATGCTTCCTTTGCTTCTACATGGAATCCTCTGGTGTCCTCAAACCCTCAGCACCACACCTTTGCTATCACCATGCAGCAAAGCTATTTACATCCTCCACACCATGTGGCTGACCAGGGACAGTCAGCATCTAAGTCCCCCACAGGTGTAAGGAATCTGCATTCCTTGGACATGTAAGCCCCTATCATTGACCAATCTGTGACTATCATTATGTCCCCAGACCACTCACATCCACTGCTGTTTGCATGCTGTCTTTCTGCTTACCTCACTACCTTCCCACACCCTCACTCCCTCCTGCACAATGCTATACCTGCAGCCACTATGCTCCAGTCACTTCCTTTCCTTCAGACTCTTTCTTTTACCATGGTCTTTGTTCCTTTTGCACTTGTAGTATACCTTTGGCCTCTGTTCCAGCCTGTCTTATGTGTATGCACTGTTGCACAGTTTTCCCTTACTCATACTCTGTCTTACTTAGGTTCCAGGTTTGCCTGGACTGTAAAGCCCTGTACTTAGGTACAGAATGATACCTTTTGGCACTTGGAAGGTCACTATGAGTTTCTCTTTCACTTTGTCTACACCACATGCCTCACAACAATCATGCACAAACTACATATACCACTCACAACTCTTGCACTGCCAGTACTACACTGCAGACCATGCCACACATGTCACAAATCGCTACTGCTACAAAGTGCTGAGTCCTGCCTTCTAGTTTCAACAGTCCAGAATCCCTTGGGATGAGCAATTCATTCCCTTCATTTTATTGTTGTTTCCTAAAGCCATCTAGCTCATATCATACAGCTACTTGGACTTTTCCTACACTGCTGTTTGATCCCACCCTCAATAGGCACCTTGTGTGGGCTGCAAATTCCATTGCAAGAGAATCAGGAACAGCTGCAAGGGACCAGTATGATGCAGCCTCCCAGGGCCTTTGACTCATCAATATGCTTGATTTGATGGAAGTCATTCAATATCTGCATTCTGCCTTTGAAAATTGTCCCAAGCCATTCATTTCCAGCCAATCACACCCATCTCACCAGTGTGTGGTAGAGATGGGTATCCTCTACTTGGGGTGCCAGATTGAGGTGGCCTCTGTACATCTGAAGCAGACTGCCAATATCACAGGATGGCCTGCACATTGGTTCACAAACCTAGCAATGGACTTGGTAGGTTTTACATTGATTTTTCACAATGTGGGACTGATACATATTCCTTCAGAATCAGCTTAATACCTTGATCCTGGTGATGGTGTCATGTGCCAATTATACTCCTCCCCTCCCAGCATGTTACCATGCATACCTCAGACACCAACATGATGAGGATAGCTTCCACAATCAAATGCAGCTAATTCCCCTTAGTGCATTTTGCATAATCAACAATATCAGTGCCATCATCCTGCATTGGACCCCACATGCAGCTGATCCCAATTCTGGCTTTGCATTCCCTTGGTGGCTATATTGTTCTGAGGAATACAAAGCAGATTCCCAAAGATTGCAAGGCAAGGGATTGTTTTCCATGGCCTGGGATTTTTTTAAGGTATGCCACTTATTCTTGTCACTGAAAATAGTTGATGATGGCCCAGGGCTTATGGCCATTGCCTGAGGTGCCAATTGCAGACTGGCTCAATGGCCATATCAAGGAGCAGGTAAACTACTGCATTGAAAATATTTGGAAATATGCTGATGTTGTCAATGGTTGGGGTCAACAAATTGACCATTTCTATGCTATGTGGTGGTTATTGCACAGGTTGTTGGGTATGCCACTTCAATAGTTTACATGTTTTTGACTGTGGAATACATTGCTGTGAATGTTGATCATTTATGAGATCCCACCCATTTGCATGATGTCTGAACTCCCACCCATCTGCATGATTTCTGAAAACCTGCCCATTGGCATGATGGTATGTGTGGTTTTGCTTTTGTTTTTGTTTCTGATACACACCCTTTAGCTCTGAGTATCCATCCATCTATAATGTCTAAGCACCTGCCCATCTGCAAAATCTCACAAATGCTGCCTGTCCAAAGCTTGAGAGCAAGCATATCCTAATAAAATATGCAATCTGCATTGCCTAATAAATTTTACATTAAATTTTGCAGTGTCAAATTAACAGCTCTCCAGTTGGAACTGGTGTAGGTAGTAGGTCATCCATCCACAGTGATTGACACATAGGAACATGCACTGACTGATGTACATTGGCATGCATGTAGTACACCAGGCATGCTCTGTCACTGTCTACAGCACCCACCCCATGCTCCAATGCTGAACCTGAAAATGCAATGATCATACCAGGGTTGTAGTGCAGCTGCAGATTCAATGTTGGAATGACAAAGTCCAAGGGCATGTAGTTGCCCACAGTTACCAGCATGTCATACCATGGATCCTGTCCATTGATATCCCTGTGATAACAAGTTGCCTGATTCACCATCATGGACATGCTGCTATACATGGAGCTCATATCTGAATCTGCCTGCTGTTCCACCTGTTTGCCAAGGCAGATCAATGCTTCCCTGCCACCTGCATACATTTGTGGATGGATGACATGCAGGATCACAGATAACAGGGCATTGGTGTCAGAGATTTGGTTGACCCATTCCCTTGCAGAAGTGTTTTCCATCCTGGATTTGAGCAGCCATGAGACCTCCAGGAAGCCATTTTGGAGCTTCAAGACAGATATGAGTGCTTTATTCACAAGGCAGGAAATGATCACCCACCCCATGACCCTGTTGAAACCATGTGGGTGACAGGTTGATGGCACCCTTCAACTGAGCAGTATTGTGGAAATATGACTTGTCAGTCTGCCATACCTGTGGGGAAGCCTTTATGCTCTCTCACAGTGGTTCCCTCAGAAGATGAAGGCAGTTCCATATGTCAGCCTACCATTCCATTAAGTCAGTAAAATATGAGATTCTGCATTTCCTTACCCTTCTTTTTGGGCTGAGAGCATCCAGCAAATACCATATGCAGATGGTGTTTGAGTTGATCACCAGAATGGATGGCTCAGTCACTTCTGTGTATCTCTCTGCAGCTTCTGCATTGCAGGTTTTTCCACCCCAATTTTTCCTGATGTTGACTGCAGAAAGATGAAAATTTCCATTGGACCATTATGATGGACTTACTTGGGCAACAATAGGTCTGTGAGATCACTGACAATATGTGATCCACTTCACATAACACTGGAAATGGAATTGATATATCTGGAAGGGTGCAAGGTCCACTGAATACCTCTTCTTAAAATCTGGCTTTCATGTATGATGCAATGCAATCTGTTAGTTCCACTCTCTATCCATGGGGGGGTTTAGATGTGTCTTGTGTAGTGTTCATGCTTGGGGTGGATGAGGTGGGAGTTGTATAGTGGTGTAGGGAACAAGTTCAAATTCCCTATGAGAAGTCATCTTGGTCAGAAGAAAATAGGGGTTGGGGGACTTGTGTTTTATTTCTTGCTTTTGTTTTTGTGTTTGTACCACTGGACTTAGTGGCAAGCAGCTGCATTGCTGACTAAGCATGCATGCTGTGTTCATGTGAGTTCAGTTTACCATGGAAGCAATTCATGTCAGAGGCCCTCAGTAGTAGGGTGATTTCATCTTGCATTTTCAGTGGGTTTTTGAAGTTAGAATTATTACTTCAGGGAGTACCCAAAGGGCCAGGAGGACTGGCAAGAAGTATTGGACAAACAGAGCTAAGTATTCTTTTCAGTTCGCATTTTTCACCTTTTTACTACACTTCTTTTCTCCAGTGAGAACCTCCCTTTTGGGTCAAGCACAAATCTTGTCCATCACTGACAATTACTAATTCTAGGAAACATCTATTACCTATTCCTACAGTGGGCAAGCTGCTTGCAGCTTGTTGGAAAATTATGGCATATCAGGAAGCTTGTGGCAATATTTTACTGTGATCTGAGTGTGAGTGGATTATCATATTATGTTTGGGCTTGTCTATATGTTGTGATGCTATAAGTGCTATTGCTGATGGGCCCATCTTATGTTGTGATGGGGGTGCATCTTACCAGATGGACCTGTCCATGTGTTGTGGCAATATAAAAGACATTGCTGAAGGGCCTGTCCATACTTTGTGACCATATAAATGATACTGCTGAAGGGCCCTTCCATATGTTGTGACACTATAAATGATATTACTGACAGGCCCATGTTCAGGTTGTGACAGGGGTGTATCTTACTAGATGGGCCTGTCCATGCATCGCAATGCCATAAATGATATTACTGACTGGCCTGTCTTTATGTTGTGACAGGCATGCATCTTGCTATGGATGAGCCAGTCCATGTGTTGTGATGATGCAATTGATATTACTGACAGGCCCATCTTTATGTTGTGACAGGGGTACATCTTGCTAGACAGGCCCATCTATGTGTTGTGATGATGTAATTGATATTACTAACAGGCCCATCTTTATGTTGTGACAAGGGTGTATCTTACTAGACAGGCCCATCCATCTGTTGTGACAATGTAATTGATATTACTGACAGGCCCACCTTTATGTTGTGAAAAGGGTATATTATCCCATAGATGGGCCTGTCCATATGTTGCCAACTCTGTAATCTATCATAGAGGGGCCCCTCTTTATGTTGTGACCCTATACAGCATATGATGGATGGGCCCATCCATATATTGTGACCTTCTTCATGATACAATAGGCAGGCCTGTCCTGATATTGTGACTGGGGTGCACCCTACCATGGACAGGCCCATCCATGTTTTACAGTAGCTCAGCATACTTACTTGGTCATGGGCCCATCTATATGTTGCAGCATCCTTACCCTCCACAGGCCCTCACATATGTTGTGGCATTGCACTTATGGGCCCATACATATGTTGCTCTCACTATAGGCCCTCAGGCCTGTCCATGTGTCACAGCTAATCTATTTAGACAGGCCCATCTTGGGGTCTATATAAGTGTTGGCATTTTGGTGTGCAGGCTACCTATATGTTGTGACTAAATGGACTACATGGGGTCCATACACAGTGTGGTGCCCCCAGCACAACCCACCCCAGTCTGGTCCAGTGTGCACAGCTCATGCACCTCTCCAGACTCCCAGGGTTCCAGAACTTCCCTGTGCATACAGTCAGGAACAGCCTGGCTGAGCTTGACCCAGCTCCCACAGCCTAGAGACTTCTTTGCAAACAATAACTGGTTCCACACATTATGTATGCAGGCACTCTATGGTGGTGGCTGCTACATTCATGCCCAGGCTTGAGCTCTTAGAAATACCATCCACCGGGTTAAAATCACCGTATGATTCGAAGTTGCATAGCTCCCCCTGTGGAGAAGAAAGGTACGCCACTTGTTCCCTGCGAAGATGCCCGTTACACTCGTGTCATATCACCACCGATGATAAGTATTGCACCAATACCCCTGATGGATGCTTGAACTGCGTGAGTTCACGGCGGCGTTGGTTCTTTCTTACAGATCCAGCGCAGCACAAGGCAGACCAAATCCGATGGAAAACAACCGTTCTCTCCGACTAACTGGTGGTTGCTGTGGTCTTCAGAGCTGAATGTTGCCTACATTGTCTTTTGACGCTGTCGTTGTAGTCATCGTCCCACTCATTCCGCCCTGGGTGACCTCCGTCTCAGCGTTAACGACCAGTCATCGCGATACACCGCGTCTTGAGAAGGGGAGCCCACGGCTTCTCTGGCTAACGTAACGTGATAGAGCAGGCGTGTGATGCCGCTCTGGGATGAAGGGAGACCTAGGTTCCCCTCTGTCCCGTCTCTCTCCCTTCCGCATCCCGTGCTCTCGGTCGAAACTGGAGCCAAATGGACCTCGTATACTGAAACCACTTGCCAAGAAATCGTAGATCCTGCCTCTGGCAGAATCAAGAGTAGCGGGTGGGCTGTTACGCTCATGCTCATCGCTGCCAGCTTTAGAAGCGAGGCTTGAGGCGGGTTGGCGGGCGTGAGCGAGCAGAGGGGTTTGAAGATGGGTGGATGGTAGGAGATGACAAAGGCTGTGGATGGATGGAGGGCTTCTTCTAACACGAGATTGATGCGTACGGGTGTACGGAGGGATGAAAAGGAACAAGTAGCAAGTCGGAAGTATGAACAAGTCAGTTAGAAGGTTGAAAACCAAACCGAGAGACGCACTCGATAGTCAGCAGGACTCTGTTTGCTCCACGGCATGCAACAGGGATTCTCGAATAACTAGTCACCACACAGGTGTGTGTTCGCGTTCGTTTGCCCCCGCATATGTACGCACCATGAGCAGTGGGAGCACTTGCTATAATTCAAGTCAATGTCAATGTTCAAATTTCAGAGTCTTCGACCACGTTACGGTCACAGAAGCCCGAGGACGAGATGGCCACTCGGTGGATTATCAGTATCCTAGTAGCGGCACTAGCATTATCCCACTTCTCTGCCAGTCGTACGGTCGCACACCCAATTGCTCCCACAATCGGCTCCAGCAACGAGCCCTTTCGAGCTTCACGCGTCTCGAAGGCGGCTCAAAAAAGCATCTCTCGTTACTAGTCTTGGGCTGACCCCGGAAGAACGCGACATTATTACCTTGAGGAACAAACACACGCTCGCTGCGAGAAATGGCAGACCGAGCTTCCGGACCCGAACTACAGTCTGTTCGTCTCATTGCTTCTGCGTGTATGACACCTTTATCTGATTGTTCCCCCCTTTAGGCTTTGGCGCTTTCACTGGTTGACGCCGTGTCGTGAATTGACTGCTGAGCTCCTGAACTATAGTCTCCGACTGTCTCGTTGTTTCCGCGTGTATGATACGTATGTCTGATATTTCCTTCTTTGGTGCTTTCACTGATAGACACCGCGGTATCGTGAACATCGGGTGGTTATGACCCACTACTTCATTGTGCCGAACGTGCGGACGCATGCAGGCCTTTCTGTCTTGTTCATGACGCTCAAACATCTTCGGCTATCCGGCTGGCATGTACCGCCCTCCAATATCGTGTTTGGTCTATGCGATTCCACACGTTCCAGTGGATTCCATTTTTCTAGTGTAATCGTTTTATGTCAAGACATTCCGGGAGCAAGCGACGCATACAGGATACCTGGCACACAAGCTGATACACATGTATGGCCATTGCAAATTTAGCTTTGATAGGTATGATTTGAGACACTATGCGTGCAGCGAGGTAAGTGCACCCCTTGAAATTAAGGATGAATGTGGTGGAGGGACTTTTGCTGACAAATGACTGTCTCTTGCAAGAATCGTGCCGATAGCCTGAGTGTGGACTGCAGGGTCGTGCGTGGAATAGGAAGAAGAAACGTGTCCTATTCGGAACAGTTCCTCTGAGTGGGTCTGATCCGTGGAGAACTCGTGCTCGCTTCTTTTCTTTTTCCTAGCGAGGCATGCGTACGGCGAACCGCTATACTGTCCGTACGGGAGAATCCGAAGTGTCCGCACGAAGCTGTAGCGGAAAGTGAAAGTGCAGTGAATGAGGTCTGGGAGAGCTGTTTTAATGACGTGAGGCCGTTCTATGAGCCGAGCATTTCGGCTGCCTGGATATGTGGCAGAGAGCTGGTCAAAAGCGTTCCAGATCTAGGCGCGTTTATGGGCGGTAGACTTTCCTTGCATGGAAAGAAAGATAAAGTTCAAGCGCTCAAATCAACGTTCCATCCTGTGGTGGTGGTGGCAGAGGCGCTCATCCTCGTTCCCCATCTATTCTAGCGTACTCATGCTAGAGGTTGGCAGCCGAATGGAATGGAAGATCAAGGAGAGATCATGTAGCCCTTCCAGGGCCCAGCTGGGGTCTGTGCAGTATTTCGACCGATAAATTGAAAGAAAAAGTGTTGGGACCCGCAGGTTCATTTTCGTCCTCATTCCCCTCTGTTTCCCTCTCCTCGGCCATGTTCGCCCAGATTCTGTGTGTTATTTTCTTTCCTTCTAGTCCAACTCTTTGTTGACGCGTTTCTAGTGCCGTTGCCGTTGCTCTTCCTTTTGTTTCCGCACTCTCCCTTGACGCTCTGACCGATGCTGTAACTGGCGGAGATGTCACATTGAACTGGCAGACTGAATCCTCAGACCCTTCGTACTTCTCTGTCCTACTGGCCAACCCCATCTTCCACGACACGTTTGCCATCGCGAACAACGTTGGGAGTGCCTTGACTACGCTGACGCTCCAGCTTCCTCAAGTCCCTGTCGGGTAAGTATTCCTCATGTTGCGTGTTTTTCCATGCATAATTCTGATGTCGTTGCGCAGTACCAGCTACCAGCTTCAAGGCATCAACGTAAGGTACTGCTTTGCATTTTTTCTTCACAACACCCCACAAAACAGTAACCCTAACAATCGCCCTTCCCGTTTCGTACCGTAGTGACGTGAACGACGTGTACGCTACCAGCCCATCATTCAGCATCGGACCTGCCCCCTCTTCGAACACGACAACAACCACGACAACAACCACGACAACAACCACGACTACGCCTGGTGCTACGACTTCCTCTTCTTCCTCAATGTGAGTTATTTTTAGCCGCTGAATTCGACCATTGATGGCGCTATGTTAAGCGCTTCTGGCACCGTCACACCTGTCGGTACGGCCACTACACCTGCTCCTGCTGGAGCTACCACGACCGCATCCTCCACGACGTCATCTACCAGCTCCAATGGCGTTCCCTACAAGTTCAACTTCGCTGCAGCTCCCGCTGCCGTTGTTGTACTCTCTGCCGTTGCTGGTGTTGCTATGCTTTTCTAAGCAGGACCTTCGTCCTCGCCGTGGATCGATATCCTGTCCTTTCCCGGCAGATTGAAGTTTCCGACTTGGTGGTGTTGGTGGGGTATGAGTGTTACTCTACTTCAAACAGCGATTTTTGTTTTGTCATTGTCATCATGCTCGATTTGTTTACCCGCTATAGGGATCATGTTGGATGGAAAACTTGGGAAAGATATTTGGAAGAGTGTATGAGCACGAAAAGAATGGGACCATATCGATGAGCCTTGCCCGTAACAGCTAAATGCCTGATAGGAAACTGTTTAGGTTTGGAAGAAGACCACGAACCTGTGGCCCTGGCAAGCAATGCAGATGTGTGTGCACGTCGGTCAATCGACTTGGCGCACCAGGTTCTTGTACTCCTCGGCACCACGGTCAAGCGCGGTTTGAACCTCGTACGTTCGTAAGCAGTATTGTAACTTGGATTGATGATCATGGGAGAAGTGAGGAACGACTCGCGGTGCCATTAACCAAGGTAGGTTCTGAGAAATAAGTATTATTATGGCTTAGCTTCATCAGTCGATTGAATACATGAAGCTACTCGTGCAAGGCAGTACCTCGCAAGCAGAGTTGTACAGCACCCCATATCGAGCTTATTATTTCATCGAAGAATGGCCCTTCACAATCATATCTGCGCATTTCTCTGCGACCGCATAAACGAGCGCCTGAGGATGCGTAGCAGGGACTGCAGGGAAGATGCTGGCATCAACAATCCGTAAGTTGGTTGTTCCGTGTACCCGAAGATCGTTGTCGACCACCCCTGGGAGAGTATCATCCAGAGGTGCCATGCGACACGTGCTGGAGTAATGATACATCGAGTCCGCCCTTTCCTGAATGAAAACATCGAGATCGGCATCTTCCAAAGATTTCGGAACATAAGTCTCTTTGAGGGGGTATCCGGCATCGCACATCTTCCGCGCAATTTCTGCTGAGAGTCGTAACGCTGCACGCATTGCATTTCGGTCCTCTGGAGTGTTTAGGTAATTCAGGTTACAAAGCGGAGCGTCCTTTGGGTCCAGTGAGCGCAGACGGAGGGAACCACGCGAGGTCACTTTAAGCAAGGCTGGGTTTAAACCGAACAGCCCCTGCCACTTGTTAGCCCCCTCTACCCGTGGGTCTGAGAGAGGGGACTTTGTCATCGTTCCTCAGAAGGATCTAGTCAAACAGATATCTGATCCACTTACAGGCAGAACTGCGATGTCCGGGATATTCTCGGGATTGAAAGGGTCCTCGCGTTCCTTCGAGATGGGTTTCACTCGACCGTCTTTCTCGACCAGGGAAGAGAGAAAGAAAATCTCCAATTCTACCAGCGTTCCCAAGAACCAGCCAGTTCCGTACCGCAAGTAATTGTACAGTTCTCGTATCAAGACAGTCGGTCGCACGAGCATGGCCCAGATTGAGTCGATTAAAGGGCAGTTGTAACCTGTAAGCACTATCAGGTGGTCTTGCTACAAAACATAAATGAGGTGTTTGCATGGGCAAGTCAATGTATTCGCGTACCAGGTGCTCTCCCACACCAGGCGAATCCAAGACGACGTCGACGTTCATCTCCTGAAGGTGTTTCCTAGGGCCAACCCCGCTATGGTCCAAGACGTTAGCTCGGGGTCAAATGCACCAGATCGCAAACACGCACCTGAGCAGTAAAAGCTGCGGCGTTCGCAGAGCACCACAACACAATATCACTTCGCATTTAGCTCGTACATTGACAGAGATGCTATCGGAGTTGGTTCCTTGTATCTCAACGCCACGTACACATATTGGTCCGTCACCATTCCTATCAAAAATCAGTTTGCGAGCCAGGGCGCCTGTGTATACGTGAAGCCTATCCTTCCTAGAAGCAAGGATTTCCATGGGCAGGTAAGCTCTATACGAGGACGAACGACATCCAGAGGAGTCCATCGTATATTGCATTTTGCACCATCCGATGCTAGGGTCAGTCGGAGAATGCATGTCTTCGATAGTGGGGAGAATGCGTCGGCAAGTCTTTTCAACCCTGAAGAAAGGTGGCATCGGGGGAAGGGAGAGATAGTCGGTGTTCTACGACTTACGCTTCGAAAGACTTGAAGTAATACCCTTCATAAGACTCTACGTAGAGAGGACCTGAGCAAAACTCTAGTGAGCAACATCAAAAGGGCACCTCTGTTAACCACGCACCGCTATAGCCGTGGTATTCTCGTCGATCTCGCCCCAGCCATGTCTCTGATTTTTTGAAAAACGGTTTCAACTCTGCATAAGACCAACCGTGTCTACCATCTCGACTCCAAGAGTCAAACTCGGCAGGTGCCCCGCAAGTATACTGACAACCGTTGATGCGGGTGCAGCCACCGAGGCCCAAACCAGTTACACAGGTGACTGAACGGCCAATGTGTTCTTCGTACACGCTTGAAAATACATTGCTATGTTTTCCGTCCGAAAATTGGTACGTCGATGTGAGTGGGACGCGTGTTAACCAACTGTATAATGCTATAAGCCAAGGAGAGCAAGTGGGATGTGCAACGTAACATGACTTACGAGTCGTCGCCATCACCCCGTTCGACGAGCAACACGGTCTTGGATGGGTCTTCACTCAGACGGCGTGCAAGCACGCACCCTGCGTTGCCACCTATCGGTATTGGTTCAACTTCTCACCGATTACTTGTTTAGCTAGTGTGGCTCACCACCAATTACGATGAAGTCATACTCAGCGCTCAGGTCTTCCAGGGCTACGAATGGAGAAGGCGCAGTGGTGAAAGGCCACATCTTGTATCGAGTTTTGAGGCGACAGGACTCGTTACTTAAATATTCCGCAGTAGGTGACCGGTGAAGGCTGTGAGTGAGCCATGGCGAATAAGGAAGCGAAACAACATGTACAGAATGATAGGAACACCAACCAATCAATTAGTTGGTGGCTGGGAGAGCCTCCTCACAGACACGTTCACCCCGTACAGATTGATCCAATTTGTGCTGCTACTAGCATACTCTATCATACATGTGCCCTCGTACACCGTGTTGAGAAGCTTGTATAGGGACCAAAATAGTTGCGTGGGTGGAAGGGTGTCAAACTGGTAGGCAACTTGTTCCGGCCATATGGTGGTGGATAGCGGACGTTGACAGAAGCGGCGACAGCGAGGTGGCAGGCCAAAGTCCCAACGTGAGCTTGAAAAACAAGCGGAGTTCGGACTCTGTGGCAGAAGTACATTAGTCGAGAGGGAACGTCTTCCTTCGAGGCTTCGGTTTGTCTAGAGGAGACTGGAAATACATGCCGTTGGCATCCATTCCGGTGTTGTTAGCTCTTTACCATCCCCGTTTACATGCACTGTATTTGTTTCTGGAACTTGCGCTGAGAGCTTCTTTCTTTTTTCGATGATGGATGCCGCTACCGCATTGCTCTGCATCGTCCTTATTTTCCATCTGGTGGTCAGTACACTTCCGACACATACCCCTTCCATAAAGCCGCTTGCTGGGCGCTGTGGTTACCAATCATCATGCGCCTTCTTACCGGAATCCCACCGCTGCATGTTCTTGGGTCCCTTACAAGCACAGCTCACTCGGGCGAAGGCCGACGAGTCTCCATCGGAAAGGTATAGAACACGAATACTGCTGCGACGTGATGGGAGAGCTTGTAATACCGTTTGGGCTTGCGAGTTTTGGATTACGAATAGAGGATCGCTTAACGAGATATTTCTTTCTTTTCCGGTACTATTCTGCGAAATGCAAGTACAAGCTGGTAAGTGATTGTTCGCAGAATTCCAAAGGTATAGCAAACGTCAAAGTTTACGTTCAGCCTCCACGCCATGAAATCTCACAATGACGACACCGCCGTTCGCCGTCCCAACTGCAAACCTATGTCCACACGATGCTTTCGCCATGATAGGCGACATGTTTGGGAACATCAACAGCACCTCCTCTGTCCGTGCATTGACAATCCACTGATTCCTGATGATGGAAAGAGGCCCCCTATACCCTTCCAGTCGCGGCGCATCGCCAGGAGTGGCCATTAATGGTTCATGGGTGTCTGACTTCCAAGCGAATACCGCCCTCGCATCGTCCAAAGCTAAAATTTTCGAACCATCCGTAGAGAACCCCACCCGGTAAACCTCACGCTCCAAAAAAAGTTCCGCAGTCATCGCCCCTGTCTCCGCGTCCCACACTCGCACCCGACAGTCTTTCCCCCCCGATACGAGCCGTTGCCCATCAGATGAAAATGACACATATCCAACGAGGCCCTTATGACGTCGCGTAATACCCATGCTCCCAGTAGATTCAGTGTCCCAGAGACGCAGAATGGGATCGTTAAAAGAGCTCGTTACGATGCGTCGGCCGTCGGCCGTAAACGTGGCACAGCGTACCGGAAGACGATGCTGCCGCACCAGAGCGGGGAGTTCCATACCTGCTTGGATGTCCCAGAGGCGTGCGGTGGTATCCCTGGATGCCGACACGAGCAATGTGCTATCAGGTGAGATAGAAAGAGAGTAAATGGCGCTACTGTGTCCGCGAAGAATGAAAGGTACATTGAGCGTTCCAGGCAATCGTTGCAGTGTACCGCTGTTCGCGTCCCAGACACAGATTACTTTGTCATCAGAAGCAGAGATCAGTCGCCGTCCATCTGGGGTATAAACTAGTGCATTAACCGCTCCGGCATGATATAGTATGGGTGGCAGGACTTCCTTGCCGGTCCCTGCGTCCCAAATCCGTATGAATCGGTCACGAGAACCTGAGGCGAATCGGGTTCCACTGTGTGCGAAGCAGAGACAAAGAACCGTTTTCGTGTGTCCACTCAATGGTTCCCGATGCATTTCGCCCGTCCGTACATCCCACAGGACGATATTTTTGTCCTGCCCAGCAGACACCAGTTGTGTGCCGTCTTCGGAGAAATCGAGCGCATACACACTCCCACCGTGACCTTTCATTGTTGGTAATATCTCCTCCCCCGAGAGTGCGTCCCATAGTCGCACAGATCCGTCCATATGGCCGCTTGCAATGTGCTGACTATCCCGTGAGAACTTGACAACGTTGGTGGTGTTGCGAGCGCCAGGCAGCATAGTCGTAACCAGTTCGTAAGAGGTATGATCCCACAGAGAAATCGAGCGAGTGCCGGAGGACACGATGTAACGTCCGTCTTTGGAACAGGAAACAGACGTTACGTCCTCTCCTGGTTTGCTAAACTCGGTGAGCAGGGGTGACCACTGGTCGCGGAACCCGTCAACCTGCGGCAGAGTGGGTTCGTTGAAAGTTTTGTATATCACAGACGAAGTAGGGGTGAATGGGAGTGCGCTCTGGTAGACGAGGAGTGGATGTCGTTCGAATACGTGTGCATATGCTTGGCAGAAGCGTTCAGCGTCCTTGACAAACGAACGCAACGAGTCATCATGGTTGTAATTGGCCTGAAAGAAACATTTTTAGAACACGAAGAAAACACACGTATGAAGGACGACACTGACATCAACCCATTCCCTGAGTTTATCCATTAACGTGATCGTCTGCCTTGGCCGCCCAATTGCTGACATCGCTTCCACCCAATGCAAGAAATGCTGGCGCAAGAAACCATCAATCTCCCGGCTAAGTGAGTGCTCGCTGCGCTGGACCTCACATAGATGGTCGATCCAATGTGTGCAGGGATAAGCAGTGGCATCCGGGAGGTTTTGCACCTCGAAAGACCGCGACAACGTTATTTGGCAGATATTCTTCTGCAGGGCTACGGCCAGGCGAGCGATGCATTGGCGTGCGAGACGGAGGTGATGATGCGATTTATTGATATGCCAAGCATCACGCCCACACCGCCTACGCTCTGTGATGAAATCTGCGAACGAAGGGTGGAAAACACGAACGGGCTTATCAGCTGCCCACTGCAAAAGGCAGCTCAAGTGCTGGATGGTATGCAAACAGGGCCGCTTCTTTCTCCCGCCCGTAAAATCGGCATTAAGGATATCGATCGTTGGGGGTGTCAATGGGTTCTCGGCTACGATTACGATACCCAAAATTTCCTGGAAGTCAGCAGCGAACGCACTGTCGTTCCACTTCCCTGCAGATTCCAGGGCAGTGATGTAGATATTATCAAGGGCGGACTCAGAATCTGCTTGTACCTCGGAGCGCAGGAGCTGGGAAAGGCGTTCCTCAGGATCCTGTGCGTTCTCCACGTACCTGCAGGCAGTCGCAGCCCAGACAAATAGCCCGGATGCACGCAAGGTCAGTGCATCCACCCTAGACGCACCTGGCCAGTCAGGTGGGAGATCGAGGTATTCATTCTGAAGACGGATGGCTACCATCTTGTGGTGAATATACGTTTTGACATCACGCTCGTTAGTTTCAGATGCAAGGTCGAGCTCGCGTGAGATTATGTGTGAATGTGTTGAAATGGCGCTGTGGATGTCCTTCTCTGTACGGCTAGTGATGAAGATGCGCAGTGTTGGTGGGAGGAGCATGCTCTCTCTGACAAGGGCAGTCAAGAGGTCATTCCGTGCACCAGTGCGACCACATTCGTCAAGGGCGTCGATGACCACGAGGACAGGTCCCTCGTGTTGGATATCTTCCAGAGATCGAAACGGGTCGGCAAGCAATCGTTGAAACTGCCAGTGCAAAGGTGCTTGCTTGATGCTAGGGGTCTCTTCAATGACCTGAGAGATTGCATCGCAGATTCGAGGGTCAAATTCTCCAAGTTGATATGCGATCGTCCGAATGAGCGACGCTGGATCGCTCCGAGCTTCTACTCCGCGTGTGAAAAAGGTGAAAGCACCGAGGCGGCGTTGTTGCCTAAACAGATTTGCAACAGAAGTGGCTATTGTGCTCTTGCCAGCTCCGGGGAAACCATGAAGCCAAAAGACATTGGATCTAGTCGGGGTCGCTGCCCAATCATATATATCACCTATGACGTCCATGCGTGTGTTTGGCAGGCACTCTGGTCGCGATGGGTCGTCCATGTCAACCGGGTTAAGCTTCATCAAGTTTTGGATGTTGACTAGCACGATTGTTAAAAGTGAAAATGGAACAGAACAGTACTCACCAATGCGCTTGATGGTTTCGTCGATACGAAAAGAGACAATAGTGGTCTGCACTGCTACGCCGGACTCCAAAGCCCGCTTGAGAGATGTAAAGCTGTCCGTGAAATCGTTGATCCGCCTATCCACCCACGCAGTAGACACCAGCCTCTCTGTTAAATGGAGATCACTCATCAAGGACATAGAGAAACAAGTGAGCGAAACATACTAGCAAACCCGTGGCCGCTGCATTCTTGGACAAACATGATGCACTCAGAAGTTTGGACAAGGAGTTTGCGTATGGTTTCCTCAAGCATGGGAATCTTCTCGGGAAACGGTTTAATATCCTCAACGAACAAGTATGCATCTTTCATAAGAGATCCCAGAGCATCGAGTCTGGCGTCTTGGCCGAGTTGGGTTTTTAAGATCTCAGCAGGACATCAGGAAACGTACTATTCGGAAAGCGTAAGGAAATACCGTGTAAACGGCAGTTGCAGTCCTCCACGCGATGAAGGCGTAAGGATGAAGCTGCATGAATTGAGTTGTAAGTAAGGCACGAGAGTGGCAACACGCACTTGTGCAAGGGCATCCCCAAGCTGCATGAAGGCTTCGAGCTTAGCAACAACCTCTGAAAGAGAATGCGAAATCCGTGGGTGCTCGACTTTAGCAACATGAGGCACGTCCTGAACCACGAGCCGGACGAAGAGATTCCAGGCCCCGTCGTGGCCCGAGAGCTTACCCTTCGATGGCTGAAGAGGCAAGGACATATTTTGACCAAGATCTGCGGATGTACGTAGCAGCTTCGCCTTTTGGCGTAGTGCTCACAGGTTACTCACGGCTGGCTTTCTGCGCTCTCAGTAAAAGTTCAGACAAGGACATCTCTGTGGAGGCTAGCAGCTGATGTCCGAGGAAAGATACTGTGCTTTTCTTCCTCAGTTCGAATCGGTAGACAGTTTCGTCAGCTTCCGATGCTCTAACCAATGCGTAAATCCGATCGACTTTTCTCAAATGCTCAGAGACGGGACATACAGTACGAAGTGTTCCTGCCACTCGAACACTCCCGGCTTTTTTGTTGATTTTGTCTTGGCCACATCATTACCATCAACGACGATTAGCACAAAACATTTGGTCCAATCGTTGGCGAGCGCTGGCAGTTCGGCTTTGACGACTGTCCTACGAAGTTAGACAGGCCTATCGCGACGGGCGTTGACATTTGTCAGTTTGAACTTCTCACCGGTAACTTCGAAGATCATGATTCAATATTCATCAACGATTTTGAGAGTTGAAAATGGCAAATGCTCAAATGCGATGGAGAAGAATACCAATATTATTGCTATAAACCCCGAACTTAGTTCCAGCTTCGAAACACGTAAATATCACGCCGTTGAGGTCATTCAGCTATGCACGACGTAGTAGGCGAGGTCATACACTCTTGCAGTATGACCAGGCCAGGGCGTCCCGATTTCCGGGCTCCTCTAAGAGTCATACTTCGACACCCGGAATTCCCCAAGAGCAGGCGTTAGAAACACTGGAGTGGGAATGGGAGGCTCGGGTAAGGCTCCAACCAAGCCCACCCCAGCTAACCTTCGATACAGGCAAAATGGTGCCAACAGTACCATGGATACGGCCCTCGGAGTACGTGATCAATCGCCTTGAAGCTTTCAAACATGCTTCCTTACGGTTCTTTACACGCGAGGGACTAAAAGGCGCGGCAGGGCTAGTGGACTCGAAACATGTCAAACTCGACTACGATCTCTCTTTCATCGAGTTCTTGATCGCGAAGAACTATTTCCTGGCTCAGCTCCAATTGACCAAGTGGCCCGCCAGAGTTATAGGTGCCTTCCATCGATTCTTTTTCTACATAGAAACGCACGAGCTATGACTGGGAGAAGAGCGTGGTGAACGAGTCTTTTTGCACTATGCAAGTTGAGTTAGGGCCGACTGGCACAACTGCCCGCCTACGGAGCATTTTAATATCCAATCATCAATGACTCGCTGATCAGTGCGATAGCTAGATAGCTAGACTTCAAGGACAACAGACGAGACATAGAACGGTGAGTGTCGTTTCACATGGAGTCCTAACAACGTTTAACATTAACCTAACCGCACGGTGCTATTGATGCCGCGCGAACATCACCTTTGCCTGAACACACCTTCGTGCTCCCATATTCACGTAAAATAAATGAACCACCAAATTTGAAAGGGCCCTCAGGCCGAACAATACCTCGAACTTCGGCAAGTGAAGAACCGGCGAACGCTACTCAATCCAGGTGATATGACGCGAGCGTGGACGCCCATCTCAAGAAGGCTGGAAGATCTCGCGCGTAACCAGACCAAAATATCTCAGCGGAGGTGCATGATTTGGCACAGGTCATCCAGCGCCCCCGACTTTCACCAGTGCGTGCAGCCCAATCCTAGACTAGTGACACAGCCCGCCTGGGACACCATATCACCGTGGCGAGACACTCCCTGCTATGGTCACATACCTGACTCACTACCTAATAGCTTTCAACGCGCATACCCTCCAAGTGACGTCCACATTCAGTCCCCGGAGTCACCTATTCGCTCCTTAGAACCCTGGTTCATATAGTCGATAGAGAATTCATTATCTGGAACCTTTTTTATGCAATCTACTCGGACGCACCTTAGCCCTCTTTCTATTTTTACCTTTGACCATCATTAACCTGTTGTCTCGTTCTTGTATCCACATATACCCTCCAATCGATAGTATCAGGTCAATAAGTGTATAAATTAACCCCTATGTACATAGATGGGGAGCGAAGTACTCCATATGCTTCCGCTACGGACCCGGTGATCGACTGCAATACTACGCATTCCATAGATGGCAATAAAGATGGACCCCTATTCGATCTGCGATCACTCGGCAACACCTAGGGTAAGTAACGACAGCCGTGTCGAGGAAGGGATATGATATGTGATGGACCCATACGACGACCCACACATTCGCGACATTCTCTTACCATATGCACGTGCACATCTCACTACTGACTATGTCGAATACACGGAACAGGGAGTGGAGCAGGTATGTGTTATCATCGCTCTGTACATAAAAACACCCGCTAATACACTGAGCACGCACGCATAGATCCTGCTCGAGACGCTGGCCTCCGTGCCATTGGCAGACGCCACGTCTTTCTTACTCCCTACAGACCCGTTCGAGGCGCTCGCCAAGCACTTGGACTCGCTCAACCTTACACCGTATCAAGAACGATGGCCTGCCCCACAAGGCGCAATCGACCTCATCAGAGATGTCTTTCCGCCGCTCACCGAACTCAGATCCGAGAAATGCTGTTTCGAACCACAAAGTGATCCTTGTAAGTCGGCAGGCACCCGCATATAGTCATACACGAATATTACACGATACACAGACAACAAACTTTCCGAGTTGTGTAGACCAATGTCACCCTGTAATTCCTGAACGATGGCGCGTCTTTGAATCATCAATAAAGATGCCATGTATCGATGAGCTGTCGTCGCATCGATCCAGTGTGGTGGGAGTATAACCGTGTTTTGATCGATGACCTCGTCAGCGATTATTTTCGGTGGTGACTCTGCGAGGACTAGCGGCGCTTGCATGTGTGGTGTCTCAGGACGATCTGGCAACGACGCAGGTAAGGGCACGATACCCTTATTGCGAAGTCCGATGAATGTCACGAAGAGGCCTCTTGTAGAGATAGGGACGAGGCGATCAAGTTTACGTCGTTTTGTAGCACGGGTCGAATTGATTTTTTCGCGAGAAATTTCTGGCGTATAGTTGGAAGATCGGTTTTCTGGATTTGTACTACTAAGATGTTGCCGGTCTTCCACGAAACTGTGTATGATATCCTCAGCAACGTGATCGACGAATCCAACGGAATCCATTGGTCCTTCCGGATGAGGCGTGCTCGCGGGTGACTGGGACATGAACTACGGGTGAAACTCAGTACCGTGCGTGCTCCTATCTCTGTGGACACCACCGAAGCGACTGATATCTTCCATGTTGACACCGTCTGTTTTGCCCCGGTAATGATCTCCATACCCCACGTTGTAGGACGGATTCGCAGTTATGACTCGAGGCGCCGCGCATTCAACCGAACCAGAGCATTGGTCTGCATCAAGGCATGAATTCATGTCGTTATCTTCCACGGCTTGACATTCATCGAGCTCCTCGTTATACCAGTTCATCTCCGCCTTTTCGGCACTGGTGCCATCTGTTTCCCTATTCTCATTCCGAACCTCTTTATTTGGCCCTCCCCCTGCAATCTTATCCCTCTCCCACCGAGCAAGCACGTACTCCACTTCCTCGTCTTTGGATTGTCTGCATGCTGGGGTAGGACTCGCACCCAACCCTTCGAATCCTCGTAAAACTTTGGCTGCGCTCGCCCTGTCTTCTTGGACATCCAAAGCACTGATAGCACCCGTTGTACCGGCCTTGATCCCATCCAACGCGTCATCGACCCCTGCAACTTCTTCGTCTGTAGGGATCGATGGTCCGAATTTAAATGGCCTATCAAACTTTCAGCATTTCGCATTCATCGGAAAGAAATTACTAGTAGGAGGCGCTTGCGATGCCAATAGCGAAAGCGACGACCCACAATTGCAGAAACCATCGATCGAAAGGAAACGCACACCCGTGATAGATTAAGTGACAAGGCCTTCAATCCCTTCACAGGTTCCAAAAATAGCGACATGCCGGCGGTCTTTTCTTCCACGACACCAGTGACTACTTTAGTTCCCCTCTCTGATGCCACCAGGTTCGCCATCCGTTGTGGAAAGTCCGTTCTTGGACGTTTCGTAGGTGGCTGGAGAGCTGGCACTGTGTGTGCAAAGGTTAGGAATCACAGCAGGAACACAAGTAGCCAGAGGCCTCACCATCCATCAACAGTACATCTTTTTCGTCCAGTTTCTCCTCCAAAATATAAGCCACTGGGTCACGAGGCAACGCACAAATCTTCGTTAGGGTGGCGTCGAGACCCGCTTCCGAATCTGCGTCTACAACTGCGTCGATGACGGGAGGTATCTTTACATCCACGATTTGATCATGCTCTGCGGTGGTTGATGGAGGTTGCCCGAGCATCGAATTGGCGGGACTGAGAGGGGGGACCCTGTATGTCTTGGCCGCCGGAACGGGCGTAGGTGAGATGACTAATGTGATGAAAGACCCAGCGCTACAACCGAACAGATAAGTATATAAAGACGCATGACAAAATGCGCGCTGTGCAACGAGAGGAAAGGTGAATGCACCTCTATCCAACGACATCAGGTATTGCATTCCTATGGCTTTCGCTTCCACGCCCAAACATCCTAGTCCTGGGTATTTCGATCTCTTCTAAAAGGGGGGAGCGTCACGGATATGTCGCAACGTTCCGGCCGCAGAAAAAATGAGTAACATACCCATCTTATCAGCAGCCAACGAGGTGGGCGGTGATTGTGGTGGTGACATGTCCCATAGCTCGTCCACGTCGTTATCCGACGGTGAATCCGAGCGGTAGGGCAGCGGCGAAGAAACAACGTATGCACCTATCAAGAGAGATGTCATTTTCCAATGTCGGGTACGCAGCAACACAACGTTGGTATCGACGCACACCATCCGTTCACTACCTCCATGTGCTGTCCATGCAAACCGCCTTCCTCCTCTTCGATGACTTGTTCAACCGCGTGCTCAAGTGTAGGTACTATGGCGCCGTCAGCCGCGCAATTGAGGCCAGGAGTCCTCTCACATATTTTTTCGTGTTTCCGTGCTAATTGATTGTCCGTTCCACTGTCGCGCGGAAAGAGTGGGGGCGAATCTAAGGGAGAAATGTGGCGGGTTGGTGACTCGGACCTCAAGAAGTTGGCAACATGCAGTCCGTCTGATGCATTTTCGTGAGGCTTGGATATTGCTTGTAACAAAGACCGGACGTTCGCCTGTGTTGCTGCATCCATCTTGTACCGAACGTCCCCAGGCAACAATGCGTCGGTAAACAAGGTCACTCCGACTACACTTTACTCACAAGACCTCATTTATATCCGGAGTAGGAAGCTCTGTGATCACCTCGTTGGCGACGGGTTTTAGGATCAAATGATCCTGCAACGACGACCTAGTCCGCGGGATGGAGGCCAGGGCTCCTGTACAACCGAATTTGGGCGTTTTGTGTCTCGCTAGCTGAGTTATCACGGGCGACGCGTGTAGAGTGTTTGTAGCCGAACGGTATTCCCTCGGGTGGTGCGATATCATCGTCGATCCGGGCCGGGCAATCATCTTTGCGCCCTTGTTTGCCTTGCCTGCGCAAATTGAGGCATTCGCAGAGAGGATATCGAGTGAGTCATGGCGATACGATGAGATTCTTGTCGTGTTCGAGGCATATCCGAGCGCAAGAAGCTACCGAGCGAATGATAAGAGTGGAGATCGAGGTGGCTTGGGGCTGAACGCATATACTCCTCCGATCCTCAAAGCTATTAGAAGGTTGAGAAGGATTGTGAGTATTGCGGAGGGGTGCGGGACAAAAGATAATAGGTGTTCGGTTATATGGGCATTTGCAAATGCAATCGAAGAAGCCGCAAAGGTGGTAAGATGTTTCGGCAAGGAAGCCTGTGCGAGGGCTGAGCAAGGGGGAGCAGGCGTGCTATGGGGAGACAGGGAGTGGCTGGAAGAAGAGGAAATGGAAGGCGAAGGAGATCTTGTGGGGGTGGATGGTATGAATGCCTTTGCAGCATTTGTAATGTTGTGTGGGAGGACGTTGGAAGATGTGCTTGATATGTCACCCGAGAACAGGGCGGAGGAATTCGCGGCATTGGTAGGGCAGAAGTGTGTGGTACGTGTGTGTAGATTCGTTGCTGTTATTTTGCTAATAGACGTGCACTAGGAGGGGCTGAATAGGATGCTTGAATGTTGGAATTGGGATCTGAGATCTGAGATCTGAGCCTATGACGCGACATGTCACACTTCGTAATTAGTCGTGTCACGCGTCAGTAGTCACACTCCACCTCATTACTCTCATGGTCGACATAAACCCAAGGCCGCAGAAAAGACTGCGCACGGACCCAAATCTCGTAGATTCTCCGGAACAAGCGTCAGATACACACTGTCCATCAGTGTTGTTGTCATCTGCTTCTGTACCACTGTCTCGACCTCCGCCGTCGCCGGGCTTGAAGCCTCTGCCACCCCATGTGTTACTCCTGGCCTTGCCAGCGCTTCTCTTGCATCCCCCGGCACACGAAAAATATGCCTTGTCCCTTTTCTTGTCTCTAAAGTCAATACGGTTGTGTTTGCAACTGCCAGCTCTGGCCCCTGACGTGGAGTGCTATGCGTGGACAGCTCTCGCAGAGGTGGGTATGCGGGTTATCAGGAGCGGGTTTTGTAAGACAGCTGAACATGATTGGACAATGGGACTCGAAGAAGAAGTGAGTGTGTTTATCTGAAGAGGATCGTGTCCGCTTCCACTATTCACCATCTCACGAAGGTCGAGAAAGCAATTGGGAAGGGGGTAAGTTCGGATCTCTGTCCCTCTCTTATCTCTCTTACTCGGGTTCCCGAAGCTCTTACTTGCACAGAAGGTATGGAAGATGCGCATATATACGAGTATCTTGTTCATTGCTTCTCCAGCACCCCATTCTTAGACATCTCCGTCACCATCTCTCGCTACTAAACGCCCACTTTGCATTTTGGCGATCCAATACGAGGTTTGCACGTGCTGTGCTCCGTAGATTGATATCCACCTTCGTTCCATCGGACCCTCCTACAATCGTATATGCGGCCCATCTCGCCCTCATAACCCAGCTTACATCCTCCCCGCCCGCATCTCCATTTTCTCATGGCAAGGGTGCGGATTCGTCTGTTTCCATCCAGCCACATACGAATCCTCCAGAAGTACAGGCTGCTCTAACTGCTTTGATAAACCTCTCAGCAATCGCTGCACAGAACCAGCACTTCTCGATGTTGAAGCTAGTCGCCGTGTTGCGCCTACGAGTGTTGGTTGCGGCTGAGATGTGGGACATGGTAGGAGATGCGCTAGAAGGTGCCGAGAAACTGTTGTCGTTGGTTTTCGACGATGGCGACGGTACTAAGGAAGGTGGTCAGGAACGTGGGATGAAGAGGGAGGCTTCTGAATTTTTGACGCGCTCGTACTCGATAACTGCTCAGGAAGTGCACGATAGTGTGGCATCGCAGTCAAGGCCTCAGACGGAGTCTGACAACAAAACATTGACGGAACAACAGCCACCCGCAGACGTACAGGACGCCGAGGAAGATCCCTTGACTGCTGCACTTACCGTTCACACGCTTATGCTCGGCATCGTCTACCATACACATGGCGGACGTGCGCGAGCTACTGAACCTCGCCTGGCTGCCCTCCATTTTCTAATGGATAGCGGTGCACCAGTCGGAGGTGTCGGCTCTGACGGTCTCGTGGAGGTTGGTGTTTGGCCCGTTAACTTCCTAGTATGACATCTAAATTCGTGGTTGCTGATTACTATAGGTTCCCCTCTCTCCGTGCCCTCCGATACACCTCCGAGTCAGCCACCCTCGAGTGATCTTCCTACTTACGTTCCTCATCTCCGCTGTGGCGAAGCGTGATCCCGTCGGGCGACGTCCAAAGAAGAAAGTGTTTGCCGAGTCTGGCATGGTTCAATGTAAAGCGGGATGTGATGAAGATGGGGGCAGCGGAATCGAGATAAATGGTAAAGTTCTTTCGTTCTCTGTTCATTTTGAGATGCACTTGCGCTTACGCTATCAAGTCCCGCCTTGGTCTTCATATGGAGATGTGGAGAATATCGATCAGAGTACGCTCAGGATCGAAGCGGATTTGCTGTGCGAACTGGCTGCTGTAAGGCTGCCCTCGTGTCAACTAAACGTGTCCTATTCTGACGTATACTAGGTATCGATACAACGATGCGAATTCGACGCTGCTGAAAAGGTATGTAACGCGTTCAAAGTTACTTGACTATTATGCACCTACGTCATCGCAGTATCTCGACACCGTCGTAGCCCATACCCGGACACATGGATTCTTCACGGAATATGCGCCCCGCATAATGCTCCACTATGCCCATCTCGCCCACGGAATCGGGGACACTGCCCGAGCTGGTACGTGCTACCGCGTTGCTGCTTATATTGCCGATGCAGGACCTATTGGTGTGGCCAATGTAAATACGGGTGGGTTCGTAGCTGCCGCTGCAAGAGCTGGCGAAGCACTTCTCCGTATCGGGCTTGTTGCTAAACAGGCGGCACCGAATATGGCTTCCGATTCTCCTATTGTGATGGGCGAAGAATCACACGCGCCTTACCTGGACGAATCGACAATAGCGCTCACAAAAGATGCCATCGCACGTTGTTCAGCGAGCGCTTCCGCACCTCTCCCTGCCCTTGCGGAGCTTCTCTCAGCAGCACTCTCACCTTCTCAAATCATTCGATCCAAATCGCTTCTGAAACATGCTCTCGCGCTATCTGGTTCTGCAGGCGACAATCACATGCGTGCACTCGTGCTTGCGGTTGTAGGTGCGCAATACGTACATACGGCGCCGGAGCACGCTATGGAGGTTTTAGCTGTTTGCGAGACGTTAGGTGCGGGTATGGGTGCGAGCGAGAAGAAACCTGCTGGAACGGAGTCCGAGCCAAGTGTATGTGGAGTAGGGAATGCGGCGTTGCGGCTATGGGTGGGGGAAAGGTTTCTCGGTGAGCGCATCGCATCTGGCTGCTGCTATCCCAGTTTGACATTGACAACAACAACTTTGGCGGGTCGTTGACCTGTTTCGGTTTTGTAGAATTATTCAAGCGCGCGGGTAAGGAAAAACGGGTACAGAAACAGGGAGAGTTTAACGCGTTGTATCGATCTGCAGTCGATGCTGTTCGGATGGGTAACTGATGTATTATAGTCATAAGGGCTCTTTTCGGACTTGGAAGGCGCATTGCTTGCACTGCTGTGCCACATAGACGATCGATGCTTTGCTATCTTATCAAACAACTTCCCCCCTTCCCTTCGCAATCGCACTCATTGACATCTAGGCATCCGTGAAAGTGTAGGATAACCGGTTTGGACATTACGATCACTATTGCATTGGTAGTGCTTACTGCTTACTGTACGGTGGTGGTTTTAACCGCGTAGAAGTGTCCCTTGCCTCCAACGAGTTCCCTCCTGAACGTGTGGTATCGCAGAGACTCTGCATTCGGATCGAAATCTAGGCGGTGAACGAATACGCAGCTAACGAATTAGGGCACTAGAGCTGGAAGCTATAAATATACAGCCTGGAACGTCTGAGGCAATGATGAAGTCTCAGTGCGCAGGAGGGACGTGGTAGATGGAGAATGTGGCTGCGAAGAATAAGGAAGAGTAGTGAGTCGACCGAATGGGATGCCGTATGGCAGCGAGAGCGTTTCAAATTACTCCCATTCCCTTTCTTGTGTGTCCGTTTCTCTGGGTGCGACTTGGAACACGCGAGCGGAAACGATAGAGTGCGTTTGCATCCTCCATTGTTCAAGATTGTCGCGTTCCTCGAGAACTCTGATCATCTCATCAAGAAACGGAGTCGAGACACAGACAAAAAAGCACGTACGTTGTAAACATGGGTGGGTGGTAGGCTAGACAACGGTAGTCCTGCTTGACCACGGGGGCCACCTGGATCATCCACCACGGACGCGGGTCGGCAAACCGTCCCGAGGAGTACCCAAAGCAGAAGCCAGTACCCGAGCATCTGTGCGTTCTGGGAGAGAACTGGCCATTGATAGGAGGGGATCTGCGACTAGCGTGTTACCTCGAGACTGCGTCAAGGCGTAGTAGGGTGATACCACTTCCATGATGGGCCATCAGCAGCAGTATGAATATGAATATGGGAGTACATGGAGGATCGGTAACCGATTGACTCGTCCTTAGTGGACCGGCGCGTCAGAGTGATTGGCATACTCTAGTCTTCAGAACTGAACACTGACTTCACATTGGCACTATCATCGTGGTCAACGTCAGGCGGTGCTGTTTTCAGCATTGAAACCAGTCCTCAAGGCCTCCCGCGCGATATCTGTCCAACGTAACGTGACAGGCAGGCGTGCGATGCCGTCACTTTCAAACTGCTGGATGAACTATAGCTACCTCTCTCAGGTTCCCATCTTTTTGGCCCCCGGGTTCCCTTTCTCGGTCTGACAGTAAAATCGGAGTCAAATGCATCCGATACACTGAAACACGATATCGTTTTTAAGGGACATACTTTTTTTTGCGCATACCTCCTTGTTTTAACAATATGCGTCGCCATCGGATCTCTTGTATTCCTTCGTCGACAGTGAGAACCCTGCTACTGCGAACTTGGATTTCGCATTTGTGCGCGGTGTTTCTGGTCTTGTATATCCAGGGAGCACGGCGCAGCGCAGTACAGCGAGGGGTAGGTGGGGGGACACCGAACAGTGAAAGGGTTGCTAACTGTTGCAGCACTGCGGTCCATTCAGTTCGGGATGACTCAGGTTTTCACCTGTAGTGCCCACCTTCATATCGATAGGCGCGCTGTCGCACCTTGTCACACTCGCCCACCATCGACACCGTTCTCTGCAGCCCAGGACGTTCGACGACTTCGTTTTCAGCTGTCATTTCTCATTTCCGTATCGTTCATGGTTCCCGGGTGTTTCAGCGCATTATGGTGCTCATGGCGGCGTCCACGTGCGCATTTTCCCCAAGACAGTGTGGATGATGCTGCTCCGGCATCAACTGAAGGGGTACCCACCGGTATGTGTGTTCCTTGTGATGGTGGGGGAAATCTAACAGTATCAATAACTGGTAACAGCTTCTACTTATCGCTTGAATCCCACCCAAGCTAGAGAGAGAATCAATCACATCCATCGTTTTCGTATCCTTGTCGTGGGCAGAGCAAATGCAGGTAAAACAACTATCCTGCAGAGGCTCTGCAACACCACAGATCAACCAGAGGTTTTTGATGGTGAAGGAAGGTATGTGGAATGTACTGTAATTCCTTGTGCCTTGTCAATGTGGTTGGCTGTGTTTAGGTTGATGCTGCTCGAGTTGAAGGTTCACTGGGGGTGAGATTTTGCTCAAGATTGCATGCAACATGCTATTGATGGTTTCAGCGTGGACACCACAACATTGAGTATGAGATGGTGTTTAAGAGTAATCCTCACTTTGTTTTTCATGACTCCTGTGGTTTTGAATCTGGCAGTGAGGCACAGTTTGAGAAGATGAGAGAATTTGTAATGGATTGTGCCAAGACCCCCAAGCTGGAGAAGAGGATACATGCTATCTGGTGAGAGTTTCATGACTGACCCAGGGTAGAGTGATGTGTTCTTCATGAATTGATGATCCAGGTTTTGCATTCCATTGAATGAGTGCCACAGGATGGTCTTAGCTGCTGAAAGGAAGTTTTTTAATGAATGTGGCACAGGCCATGGTATGTCTATATGGTGTCTTGTTATGCATCCTTGTGTAGAATTGAGGGCTCCCATAGTGCCTGTGATTGTGCTGTTAACAAAGGCAGACACTTTGGAGCTTGATGCCATTCAGGAGATTGAGGGGCTACAGTTAGAGATAGGTGAAGCAGATAGAAGGATAAGGGTTGCTGAGATACAGGGAAGGATGGTGGATGAGAATCTTGCAAAGGTGAAAAAGTGGTTGAATGTTTTGAAGTTTCCACCACATGACATCCTGCCATTGACAGGGAAGTGCTCTATCATTGCCCTGATATGTTGCAGACCTAATCAAAGGACAATACAGGAATGCAGCAAGAAGGAGCAGATTTTACTTCCCTGCTGAAATGTACAGCAAATGCCCTGAATGAAGAAAGCCAGCAAAAGCTTCTTATATCAACACAACAGTCTGGTTTGGCACTCTGCATTGAGTTTGCTGTAATGAAGTAAGTGTTGAAGTGGAAGCTCTGACTTGTATTGACATGATGAAGGACATTGAAAGGATGCATGGAGCAGAGATTAGGTCATTGGGAGCCAGCAAAACTGGCTGCTGCTCTGGCAACTTGGTTTCCATATGTATGAATGAGAGGTTCATTCTTGGAAGTGATGAATGTATGCTGACCCATTTCCATCCTCTGGGGGTGATAGTATGTGAGTGGAGCCATGGCAGGTTATGTAATTGCATACTGATGATGTTGTTCCCACCCTTGGGGACATGGGATCATAGCATGTGAGTGGAGTCATTGCAGGTGATGGAGAAGCATGCTGATGTTGCTTGCTCTCACCCTTGCTGACATGGGTTGATAGCAAGTGGGTAGATTCATGAAGGTGAATATGGATGCATGCTGACATATTTACTCCCACCCTTGTGGATGTGGGTGGATAGTTGGTGAGTGGAACCATGAAAAGGTGGCAGTGTATGCATACTAACCATGTTTGCTCCCACCCATGGTAACATGGTGTCATGGGTTGATAGGGAGTGAGTGGAATGATAGTGGATGGCTGTGGATGCATGCTGATCAAGTTTGTCCTACCCCTGTGGCCATGGGTGGATAGAAAGTGGGTGGAGTCATGGTAGGTGGTGGTGGATGGATGCTGATGATATTGGCTCCCATCCTTCTGGACATGGTTGACAGCATGTGAGTGGAATCATGGCAGATGGTGGTGGATGCATGCTTACTATGCTCACTACTGCCCTTGTGACATGGGTTGATAGAAAGTGAGTGGAGTCATAGCTGGTGGTGGATGCATGCTGACTATGTTTGTTCCCACTATTATGGATTTGGGTTTTTTAGGGAGTGAGTAGAGCCATGGCAGGTTGAAGATGCATGCTGATGATATTGGCTCCCACCCTTGTGGACATGGGTTGATAGTATGTGAGTGGAGTCAGGGCAGGTAATGGTGCATATATGATGACCATTTTTGCTCCCATCCTGTTGGATATGGGTTGATAGTATGTGAGTGAAGTTGTGTCTGATGGTAGTGGATACACACTGAAGATGTGTACTCCCACCCTTGTGACCTTGGTTGATAGGGAGTGAGTGGAGTCATGACAAGTGGTGGTTGATGCATGCATGCAGACTATGTTTCCTCCCACCTTTTTATTAGGATGTGAGTAGAGTCATTTCAGGTGGAGGAGGATGGGTGACCATATTTGCTCACATCCTTGTGGACATTGGTGGATAGGTGGTGAGTGGAATGGCAGGTGGAGGAGGATGAATGCTGACTATGTTTTCTCCCACCCTTGTGGACATGGGATAATAGCAAGTGAGTGGAGTCATTGCAGGTATGAAGTAGTGGATACATGCTGACCATATCTTCCCTGCCTTTGTGGTCATGGGTTGATAGGCAGTGAGTGGAGATGTGGTAGGTGGAAGATGCAAGCTGATGATTTTCTCCCACCCTTGTGGACTTGGGTTGACTGTTGGTAGTATGTGAGTGGAGTGATGGTGACAAAGGATGCATGCTGACCCTTGTGGATAGGGACTGAGTGGAGTCATGAAAGATGACAGTGAATCCATTCTGATGGTGTTTGCACTCACCCTTGCAAACATGGGTTGATAGTTGGTGAGTGAAATCATAACAGGCTTATGGGGTGGATTGATAATGATGCTTTCACCCATCTTTGTGGACATGCACTGATAGGGAGTGAGTTCAATGTTGAATCATGGCAGGTGGTGATGCACACATGCTGACTCTCTTCTGCCACACTTGTGGATGTGGGCTAATAGGGAGTGGGTGGAGTCATGTCAGGTGGTGGTGAATATATGCTGACCATGTGTGCTTTCACCCTTCATGGTTTAATAGGATGTGAGTGGAGTCATGGCAGGTGGAGGAGAGTGCTTGCTAAACATATTTCTTTCACCCTTGTGGTTATGGGCTGATAGTTGGTGAGTGGAGTCATGGGAGGAGGAGGTGGATGCTGATGGTGTTTATTCCCACCCTTGTGGATATGGATTCACAGTGAGTGAGTGGGATTATTGCAAGTGGGGGAGGATGCATGCTGATGTTTGCTCTCACCCTGGTGGACATGGGTTGATAGGATGTGAGTCAGTCAGGGCTGGTGGAGGAGGATGCATGTTGACAGTGTTTGCTCCTGGCCTTGTTGATATGGGTTGATAGGATGTGAGTGGTATCATGGTAGGTGGTGGCAGATGCATGCTGACCGTGTTTTCCCCCACCCTCCTGGGCATGGGTTGATAGTTGGTGAGTGGAATCATAGTAGGTGGTAATGAATGCATGCTGACACTGTCTGCTCCCATCCTTGTGGATGTGGATTGACAGCAAGTGGGTGGAGTCATTGCAGGTGATAGTGAATATGTACATGCTGATGATATTTGTTCCTGCCTTTGTGGACATGGGTTCACAGTATGTGAGTGGAGTCATGGCTGGTGAAGGTAGATCCCCTGCTGACAATGTCTGCTCCAACTCACATCAACATGGGTTGATAGCAAGTGAGTCAAGGTACAGGACAGTGGAGGATGCATGCTCACCATGGTTGCTCTGTCTCTGGTGGACATGGGTTAACAGCCAGTGAGTGCAGTTATGTCAGCTGGTGGTGGATGCATCATGCTGACCTAGTTTGCTCCTATCCTTGTAAATATTGGATGGCTGATAGCAGGTGAGTAGAATCATTTCAATTGTTGGTGGATGCATGATGACCATGTTTGCTCCAATTGTCATGGGTGGGCTGACAGGTAGTGAGTGAGGTCATAGCAAGTTGTGGTAGATGGATGTTGACAGTTTTTCCTCCCACCACTGTGAACATGCATCAATAGGGAGTAAGTTGAGTCATGGCTTGTGGTGGAGGATGAATGTTGACCATATTTGCTCTCACACTTGTGGACATGGGCTGATAGCAAGTGAGTTGAGTCAAGGCAGGCAGTACTGAATGCATGCTGATTATGTTTTTTTTCACCATCATGGACATGAGAGTTGCTAGTATGTAAGTACAGTCATGGCAGGTGGTGGTAGATGCTGACCATATTTGCTCCCCCCTTTGTGGACTTGGGTTGATAGGGAGTGAGTGGAGTCATAGCAGGTGTTGGACAATACATACTGACTGTGTTTGCTCTTGTCCTTGTGGACATGGGTTGATAGGAAGTGAGTGGAATCATGGTAGATGGTGGTGGATATGTGCTTACAACAGTTTTTCAAATGTCCTGGGTTTGGCTTGATAGCAGGTGAATTTTATCCACTGTGCACATTGAATGGTTTCTTCATCCTGTATAGTTTGTGAGTGTGTTTCATGCAACCTTGCTACAGGTGTCAATGATCTACACTCAGGATGTAAGTTCCCACACAATGGAATTCACCTTCACCCTCATTCTTCTCCATGAAACCATCAGCATGTCAGTTCCTCTCAATTTAAGTTGGTGCCCCTCCTGATATTACCTGTTACAGCATGTATGAGTCCTTAATTCAGTATTTGTAGCCAGCAGTTACCAATGACATTTCCAGCTGGTTTGTGTCCATCACTTCTTACCAGCATTGAAAGCCATAATTATGTATTTCAGGTGGTAGGTTTCATTGTTGGTCTGATAACCACTCATTCCATGACAATTATGTATATCTACCACAGCCTCATCTTTTGCATGAATCAGCTTTAGTATCAATACCTATACTGTCATCATCCTTGAAAACCTCAATGGCATTCATTGTGGAACATGGCATAGGTGATTTATATTTTTGCCAATCTCTTTATGACATGAATGGATTTATCCCTGCAGGGTCTATTTTGGTGTTTGAGTATTTCTACTTCTTGTTGCAGGTCAATCAAGAAAATCAAGCTGGTGTCAAAAAATGCATGTCATTGGCTGTCAAGGAGTATCAGATGTCAGGTGTCCAAGCTACTGTCATTGATCTTATTGCATCAGCTCTTCAAACACATGGTGAGAATGTAGATTTTATGTCCCATACTTGTGGACATTGCAACAGCAAATCAGATGTGTAAGCTGTGATTTCTTTGTAGGTTGGATGCATTCAATTTGTATTTTTTAGCAAAGAAGCTGTTAAAGTAGGGGTCAATTGTAAAGGTCATGTTTATCAAGTGCTTGACAGGGGACATGTATTGTGAGTTCATATGTATGTCACACTCCAAAAATCATGCCCAATCCTGTTGGATCCATGTGGCATGCATTATTACATCTCTCTCAAAAGGCCAATGCAGTTATCTTCCTTTAAAGACTTCAGTGGTGGGGATGTGTCCTGCAAAGGATGGAACTCATAGGTTGTGTGTGCCCTCATCTTCCCCACAACTTGACAATCCCAATGATGTTCACATGCATACATAATTTGAATGTATAATAATGATCCACCAGCAGTGAAATGTTTACCTTCTAATGCATTCAATGCAGTCAGGGGGGGCACACAACTGAGATTAGGGCAGCTTCATCCAATGTACTGGTACTTAGGAAGGCCTGGCCAGTGTTAGACAAATATGGGTTTGCTGCTCTTTGGACTAATCCTGTATAGTCTGGAATTGTCAAGTCTTAATCTTCTCAGGATGAGTCTGGTCCAGAGTCTGACTGGTGTGTAGCAGGATAGTTATGTACAGGGACAAGAGGGATGGATCGATTGGGTTCAATTACAAGGGCACAGCATTGCACCCTTGCATGGGATCCAGTCCAGTTGAGAGAACAGGAATGAGTCCAGAGAGAGAAGTAACTCAATCAATTTCTGACTAGAGAGACAATGAAACACAGTACATATGTATTTACACTCCAATTTTTAGTAATGTATTAGTGAGTAACTGATTACAACCAAGGTGACAAAGAGAAAGGAAACCAGGACAGGAAATGTAAGAGGCCAGATCTTGACTGGGTTGGGCTGAACTGGGATAGCACTCAAAAAAAAACTCAAAAAATGATATAGTTACCAAAAACTCATAGTTTTTGCACAGAAGCCAAACTACAACTGCATTTCTATGGGGGAGTGGGTTTCATTAATATATTGGATCAAACAGCATAGTCATTAGCACAAGTGTAGTAGTGTTTGGTTTTGCATATGTATGGCTTGAAATGCACCCATCAGACTCAAGTGTGCGATCTAAGCAACAAGAGTGGCATATGAGAATATGGCAACTGTGATTAATTACTAAAGATTTGTGATTAACTATATACTGTAGCTCTATACAGTGGGAGCTTGTCTACTAATAGTTGGTCAGTGCTGGGACAGTCTGAACAAATTTACCCAGTTATGTACATATGTACCTTGTTGGGGGGGTGTTAGATCCTTGACAGGGCTGAGATATACTTCTGGTGGGCTCCACAGAGCTCTGGAGGTCAGAGGTGATGTAAGATAGAAAAGTGGAACTGGGAGGGAAGTAGCAAGGATCCAAGAGAAGTGAGTAAGTCCAGAGGGTCCTCCATGACCTGAATTGTCAAGTATGGGCATCCTTGGGTGACCAGGCACTGAGTCTGGGTAACAGGGGCTGAGTCCAGGGGGTCCAGAGTCAAGTCCAGGTGTGTCTGAACAATTCCAGTAGCATGGGAACTTGACTGGTCCAAAGGTGCACACAAAGGGAAGTTGGTCCAGGGGTGGATTACCTCCCTTGGTCTCAGCTTATGTATGTGCTGTACCCTTATGCAAGCCAGGGGAGAAGTCTGAGACAGGAGGGGGGATAGCCCAAAGGATCTGCCTTAGCTATCAAGAGAGGTTCAGGGAATTCAACCTAGTTAATATTCTGACTGGGTTGCTACAGAGTTTGTACATTGGTTAAACATGTGAGTCTGGTCCAGAGTAGTGAGTACAAAACCAGACAGATTGCTAAGCTATTAATAAAATGATTAGCAGGAAGTGGATAGCTACAGAGGCTATGCTGAGACTAAAGTCAAAGTCTGGGTAGCTGGAGTTGGACACAGATTTTGTATTATAAGTACAGATCAGGAACAGGGTGGAAGAGCTAAACTAAATATAGGTCAAGTGAAGGGGAACAGACCAGAGCTGAGTCTGGATGGACTGGACATGGACACAGGGGGTTCAGAGTGAGTCATAACATGAAGCAGGGGTTGGGTGAGTCCAGACTTGAATAGGGGTCTGGGGGTGTGGAAGTCATGTATGTGACATGAATTGTCAAGATGCACATATCCATGAGGATCTCCAGGAGTGGAAAGGAAGCAGAAGGACTTTCAGAGTAGAGTGGACAAAAGTCCAATACCTATCTGACTGCTGGGAGTCAAGATAGTTGAAGTCCAATGGAGGAGAGGGGTAGGACAATGGAAGTCTGACAGAAGGTGCTGGAGTTGGAGGACAGGCAAGAGGGCATTGGGTTCAGCTAGTGTGCACCCCCTTGCACAAGCTTGGCCCTTGTATTTCAGAGGTGGAGACCAAACTTAGGGAGGTGAAGGCAAAACCCTGAAAGTGGAAGAGCTTAGGAACTAAGGGGGACTCAGAGGTGGGGACTTCAGTTGATATTCATACTGAACTACATCAGAGTAAAGTATGACCATTTATATGATATTGTTCAAAGGTGTGACAGCATAATATGCATACCAATAAACAAATAAAGGGTCAACAGGCACTTCTGAAATAAGGAATAGAGGTGTAAGTATGTATGACAGGGATCTCATCTGAGGCAGATGAGCTACAACAATGATGGGAAGAGGGTAATACAAAAAGTGTGGAGGAATGGAAAGAACCCAGTACAATGCAGACCTGCAATCAGGCATCCAAGGTGGTGAGCTTGACATCCCACTCACTGTGGAAACAAAAAATGGTGCAGATCCATTTATGGTCAGAAAAGGTTCCTAAACCTAGGTAAAGGTGGACTTGGCCCAGCTGATATGGTTGGTTGGCCTATAGTCACAAAAGGTGACCAAAACAGACCAAAATCGAAGTTGGTGTTGCTAGGAAACACAGGGTTACCTCAGAATAGATGATTAATTTTTCTAATCAGACCTGTTTTTGGAATCAACACAAATCTGATTTGCATTGGATTTGCATGCCTAGTAGCTGTATGTTGTATATGCATGCATGCCCACCCACCTGCCCAGTAGCTACTAATCCTTTCCTTCCCTCCTCCCCCTCCTTCCCCCCTTCCCTCCAGTACACATAGCACACATGTATCCATCCTTGACACCACAGAGACAACCATCTGGCCCTCAAAATCACCCTGGATTCAATATGCATAATACAAATGATAATGGGGGTATGTACAATCCCACCCAAACCTGCATATATGCAGTAACCTGAACAAATAGAGAGCTGTGACAAGGCTTTCATGCATCCATGACAGCTCCACATGCATGGGGGTGTTTCTCCTATGACAGGAATGAGTTCAGGGGTAGGCAGGATGAAGTATGACCACAAACAATTAGCACTTACTTTACCAGCTGTTTGAGAACAATTTCATGTTCTCAAGTTCTACCCAGCTTCCTAGCCAGCCTTCACTCCTTGATGACAGTAGCTCAGAATTCTCAGACTTCCATTGAGGTGTCACCTATTCCCATGGATGCCCTAAGAATGCTAGCTTCCATCCAACAATGCCAATGTATGCAGACTTGAGGGGGGCTCCATTGCAACAAGGGAGCTTTGAACATCATGGGAACATGCTGCACTCAGAATAAGGGCCTCCCTTTGAAGAATTTCGGTCAAGCTGGCAGCAAAAGAATCAGACACCATACCAATCACAATTGATGCCACATGGATGGACCTCTACTAGTAGATCTGTGAGTTCTGGTTCACTTTGATATGGCACACCAACTCCAGATATTGCTGGCATTCAAAATGGCAGCTCTGAGTTGAGAGCACTTTCCAAGACTGTGGGCCAGCAATCAGTAACTATAGAAAAACTGACAACTCGCCTTCAAACTGTTGAGGAAGAGGTTGCTATTCTCCATGCATGGATGGAGACACAGCAAGATGATTGTCTGGGATCAAGTAGAGGGAGGAGAGTGATGAAAGTGAGTTCAAATGAGCACTCCACACTCAAGGTTCATCAGCTCATTCATGAACAGAACTATGTATCATACCATTTACAGCTATACATACATCCTCTATTTGCTGATCTTTGTGGCATTGAAAGAAGTCTTGAGCATGGTGTGAGAGCACTTGCTCTGACACATGTTAAGCCTTTGGACACATGTGAGCCATTTGAGCAGATCGACCAGAAGACTCATGTGTGGCACTCAAACTTGGCCAAGTAGATGATGCCCTGAATGCCAAATTCATACAGGAGGTTTCTCAGCAAATCTGGGATGATGAGATGGTATCAGAGATTACTGAATGGTGTCCCAATCGATTCACTTATTGCATTGTAGACTCAGTGCCAGCAAACAGGCAAGGGAGAACTTCCTGACAGTGATTACAGCATGCCTATCATCAAGGAATGCATGAAGACATACTTTTGAAACATCCATAAGTTAGCAAGTGAATTAAATGACCTGTGCAAACTGCAAAAAGCAAATGATCAGAAAACTATTACCTGCCAACACACATGATGTCAGGGAGTGGGTAACAATACTACTAGTGAAAAGAGGACTTGCCACAAGGCATTAAGGTTGCAAAGATACATCAAGCTGCTGCTAAAGCCTTTGAAAAAGATACTGAACACAAGGATGCAATGGCATTGATTGATACAGACTTCAGCACAGATATCTTGACATGTGATGAAGAAAGAGCTAATGAAATGCTTGATTGATGAAGAAGAGAGGCAGATCTTGGTAGGGAAGCAAAAGTTGGGATCAGGTACACCTGGCAATCCATTAATGAAAGTCACTTGATCTTCATGAGAAAATGCTTACCACTTGAAACTGTTCAACAGTATATCACATTCCTTTGTCATCTCACACTCAAGTCCACAAAAAATTTGATGGCACATAGTGATGGTATGGTCGACCCTGATATAGCTGCATCTACCTTGAATGCACCCCCAAGAAAATGCAGAAAGTCTGACAAGAAAACATGGAAAAGAAATGCTCCACCTGGGATAATGTATGATCAAGGCCTGCAATTGCATGAGAAGAAACCTGTCTTATCATTCAAAAATATGGTTGATGATGCTTGGCAAAGAAGTCATCCAGGTGTAAAACTGCTTGATGGTGCTGACTGGCTGGATGGCTTCTACACTCAGCTGCAAGAAGGAGACCTGTTGAAGGAGGATGGCAAATACCTCAGTGAGTTGGTAAAGTGGAAGGAGCACAAGGAAATGAAAGCAATGCAGATCAGAGTGATGTAGAATAAGAGAGATCATCTACCATAATCCATGAACACTGGGTTTTCAATGGGAACCCAGAAGGTTACTATGATTTGTGTTGTCAAATCTGTGTGAAGATGGAGATGAAATATGAACCTTTGCAAGATCAACCATTTCCCAGAGCTTGTGCTGATGGTTCCCAATAGTAATCATAGTTCAAGCAACATGTCCTACTATCCAGTTGGGGTCAATCAATGCCAGTAGCATTTGCATGTCCCAGTCAAGGTACTCTCCAAGATACCACACCTTGACACCAACCATGGAGCTATACATGTGGAATTTGCTAGTGCTTCATTGAATGAAAGGAAAAAAAAAACACATAACTTGTCCACTTCAGGTAACCAATTTTCATAAGCATTTAGGCTGAAGTTTTTCTACAAATCATCCAAGCTAAAAGCCACTCAGACCAGGTCATCCCAGGGACATCTGGCCATGTCCCAGGGCTATTTGCAGTGTGCAGGACCTGGGATGTCCCATAATCCCAGCCCCCTGGTAATATATTTTGGGCTGTCCTGTGGCTGCCTTAAGTGTCAGGGGTCCTCAACTGCAAAAGTGCAGCTCACACCCACATTGGAATGCCAGCTTTCAATCACAAACACATTGCTGTTATGATCATCATCCAGACAATGAGCATACCTATCAAACTGGGGGGATGGATGAAAACATTACCCTCCCAAAAAAACACTTGCTATACATATTAAGTGATATATGAAGGCTACTGGGCAATGAGTGTGTTTGTGTGATGCCATCTGCAGAATTGTACAATGTGGATGAAGGTGAACCTGTCAATTACTAAAGGTTAATGGATTCAGAATCCCCCCAATAGTATTGTAAGTTCTTGCATTTGTTACAACAGTCACTCCTTTCTAGGATCACTACTTTTGTTTCCAACTTACAGTTGAGGTGCATACATACATACATAGTATCAAAATGATTCTATTGTGGGGGATGAGCATGTGAGTGCCCCACTGGCATAGGATGCCATATGATCTAATTGGCATGGGGCCCCATGCCCAGGACAATGAGATGCCCCTTGATAGCTTTGGAGGCCACTGTGAGACATCCCACCCCCCCTTCCATAGGCCAGTGGGATGTCCCATGATAGCTTCAGAGGCTACTGTGGGACATCCCACCCTCCCTTCCAGAGGGCAGTGGGATGTCCCATGATAGCTTCAGAGGTTACTGTGGGACATCCCACCCCTCCTTCCAGAGGCCAGTGGGATGTCCCATGATAGCTTCAGAGGGTTACTGTGGGACATCCCACCCCTCCTTCCAGAGGCCAGTGGGATGTCCCATGATAGCTTCAGAGGTTAGCTGTGGGACATCCCACCCCTCCTTCCAGAGGCCAGTGGGATGTCCCATGATAGCTTCAGAGGCTACTGTGGGACATCCCACCCCCCTTCCATAGGCCAATGGGATGTCCCATGGTGGCTTTGGAAGCTACTGTGGGCACATCCCATCCCTCCTTCCAGAGGTCAATGGGATGTCCCATGATAGCTTCAGAGGCTACTATGGGACATCCCACCCCCCCTTCCTATAGGCCAATGGGATGTCCCATGGTAGGCTTTGGAAGCTACAGTGGGATGTCCCACCACCCCTTCCAGAGGGCCAGTGGGATGTCCCATCATAGCTTGCAGAGCCTACTGTGGGACATCCCATCCCTCTTCCATAGGCCAATGGGATGTCCCATGGTAGCTTTGGAAGCTACTGTGGGACATCCCACCCCCCCTTCCATAGGCCAATGGGATGTCCCATGGTAGCTTTGGAAGTTACTGTGGGACATCCCATCCCCCCTTCCAGAGGTCAATGGGATGTCCAATGGTAGCTTTGGAAGCTACTGTGGGATGTCCAATGAAGCTTCAGAGGCTACTGTGGGACATCCCACCCCCTTTCTTGAGGCCAGTAGCATGTTTCATCATAGCTTTGGAGGTTACTGGGGGCCACCCCCCAATTCTGCATACTCCTGGTATATTAAAATACCTCAGATGCCATGGACCTCATCTAATGAATTTTTCAGAGACATACAAGACTAGCTTTACTATCTACATGGTCTTTTACTTGGAGATGATGGGAGATCCATATCCAATACATCTAATTCCCAGTCATCTGTCCATGAGAACTCTGTCAATGACATCTCACTGAACTGTTGGTGATATTCATCTGCAGAGCAAATTCCTCAGCAAGACACAGCAAGTCATCATCAAGCACTTCATCATCCCCATCATCATTTTCAGATTCCAAGTTCTCCCATCCCACCTCTTCATTTCTGTCCATGTCCATGATGAGTGGTGCATAATCCATATTCCTCCATTCTTCAACCCTTGCCTCCCAGCTCTCATCAGCACCTCCTGGAAAGTCCCTCAATTTTTCCTGCCACAGGAGACTCAGACTTGCTAATGCTGAAGCCCTGCAGTCCAGTTCATATGCAAGATCTGCACCTGATTTTCATTCAAGTATCTTAATACATTCAATGACACAACAGCTCTCTTACCTGCATCCATTGCATTTCTCTAGCCATCTCCATTCTTCTGAGTGCCATTCCATCATGCTTTTTCTTTCATACAGGAGCCTCCTTTCCTCCTCACACCTCTTCAGCTCAAGGAGTGTCCTGATCCCCAAGCACACCCTTTCATCAGCTAACCAAGCTGGTGGCAATCCAACAGAATCATCCTCAAGACCAATATCCTGCCAGATATCATCATCTACATCTAGTTTGAACAAACCATCCCTTTGGATCAGTATAGGTGCTATGGCCCCTCGAGGGGCTTTCCCCTGGTGGATGAGAGCTACCAACTGCAAACACAAATTATTGTAGGAGGTAGAAAGCTTGACAATTCCAGGTTCTTGTCACTGGACAGATCCTTCCACATGGATTTGAAGTTTTTGTTCTGCAAAGCAGTCAACCACAAGAGGCAAATGCTTAAGAGCACCACTTACCACTAACTGTCTGGTGGTAAGACCATTCTAGTCTCTCTAATTCAAACTTTTGTTGACACAGACAGTCTCAGATATGCTTCTTGATTGCCAATACATGCATATGCAGCTGAATGCTTTGAATTCAATCAACTTATAAATCTAGAAGAGGAAGAACCACCAGCCTGAAGAAAGGAACTATTCTGGAGCCTGGAAAGCTCTGCAAGCCCATCTATTCCAAGGCTTGCCCTCTGTCCTTTGTGAAGCTTGTTTGAAACACATATCTTTTGTGACATTCAGCTAACTGTATATTTAAATTTGTCATATCAGCCCCTCCTCAGAGAAGACCCTTCTCCAGTTCATCTAGCCTGGCATCATAAGTTTCCAGTGATTTCTGAGTTGCCATCATTTGCATTATAACATTTTCTGTGGTTTTTGCAGAGTACCCTTAATTTACTGTCACCTCACAGCAAGAGGAATCACTTATACAGGAAGCTTATGAGATGCTGGCTTGGTTTGTACTGAAACCTGAGCCTCCCATTCAGCTTGAAGTGTCTGAATATTGATTCCAGATTTTCTTAGACCCTTTTTGCAGAAGCCTTTTTTTCTTGACAGTGGTTCCAGCACCACAAAAGCCACTGGGCAAGACCAGTAAGACTCTTCATGTCAAGAGAGTGCACCTGGGAGTCAATGACAAAGAGGCATTGAGGATACTGAATAAAATATTAGCCCATTTTGTGACACAATTAATGCATACCCCAGAAACTTGCAGAGATGGTATTAGTGGCTTAATTGAACTCCAAAATTGCTCACAACCCTCTCCATCAGAAAGTCCAAACCCTTCTCATTTCTGAGGGTGATAGATGAGCTGGCAAGCCCATTGATGACCAAAAGCATGAAAGACTGATATAGCAAAAGAAATTCAAGGCAGAAATGGCTCAAGGTAGCCCCATTTTCTGCAGCTCTGTTCAAGCTGACAGCCTATGTCATATAACAGCCCAATGTGACAATCATCAGGGAGGTGACTGAATAATGATTTGATAAGGGCAAGTGCATAGTTTTGCTTCTCCCCTGCTGAAGTCATGTTGGCAAGGTGAATAACATGATCATGATGACACAGTAGGGCCATAACTCCAGTATCTGAAAAGAATTGGGTACTTGCCTATACCACCATCAGAATATTGCAGACAGGTTAAATGATTAAGCTCACTTTCTGATGTCTCTCATCAGCTGCAGTGAAGGATTCATTACAACCCTTGAGGACTGATGGTGGTATCCTCATACCCTGCTCAAATCTATCCTCATCTCCACAATTCTTCTTAGAAGACTGACCACTCCTCTTTTGCATTGATGCCTTTGTCCTTCTCAAACCTTCAACCTCACATTCCATAGTATCAATGTCTTCTTGTGACAGAAAAACTGAACCTGTGGGGTTTACTGGATCATCCTGTTGACTTCTTCTATGTTTCTGGGTAAAGCAAGCATCAGTGCAAACAATTGCATCAGGATCAGAGGAGCTAGGACCCAAGACTATTTAGTAACATAGGATTATGTATGTGCACCAAGAAACATACCTATTATTATTTTTCCAGTTGCAACTACCAAAGCACAATGGAAAATGCTTTTGTAGGTATTCCAAAGGCTATGTCCTTGAGCTTGAGACATCTGGAGGGTGGTGAGAGGATGATGGAACTGCAGGGAGGATGTCAGCTGGTGGGGTTGCAGCACTTTCCAGGTGTTGTTGAACATATTCATCAACTGAGATGCAATACCAGTGGTATGCATTACTAAACCTTTGATGTATACCTTCCTGTAAGTATCATTAGCAAACATCATTAATAGATATGGATGGAAATAGTTAAAAGCATGCATTGACTTGATAAACACAGCACAGGATCAGATCTGCAGACATGTGCACATTCATACAACCACAGTGCAATCATTCATTAGACACAAACAAAGTCCAAATAGGTTAGACATGCACAAAACTGTAGTCTCATAATCACAACATAAATGAAAACAGTGGATACAGATAATATAATCATTGGGACAGAATTCAGACACAAACCTTTGTGTCTACCTTGCAGCCCATTCTAGCAAGATATGCTTCAAGGGACTCACACCATGCAGAAATGTTTGGGAGCATGTGCATAAAGACCTGCCTGACCAGACTCAGAAGCTGTAAACTGACAGCAAGGGTTGGCCCCAGTGGCACAGATGGAAGGTACCCCATCTGCAGGAACTGAAGTGCCACTGGTGCACATGGACAGATGGCAAGATCAACCATTTGCAAACCTGGCACAAGACATATGTCTAAGTAGAGAGGAAAACATGCAATAAAATCTTACCATTGAAACTAACACAAAGAACCTTCAACCATTGAGAAACACAACTACACTCTGGTCACTCATAGTCAACATGGTGCTGGAAATTTCTGGAGAGCCATCAATATGCAAGATAGGGCTCAATAAGTGAGGGGATGGCTTCAGATGACCACTGCTGCCATTGTCTCATTTTCTTGTGAGCATTGCAGGCTGGTGAGGATGGTGGGGCAAAAAAGTCATTGTGACTGACATGTAGCCCCTCCATTAGACAATTCAAATGGGCAGGGGCAAGCTTGTCCACAGATGGGAGGCAAGCTCCCATGAGTGGAGGGGAGTTTGTAGCAGAAGCAGTGCAGAGGGCTGAAGTCCCCTGAGGCAGCTGTGTGAAACTGCAACCCCCAGGCAAAGTGACCAGACATTCGATGGGAAGGTAAAAATTGGCTGTGCCTGGTGTAGGGAATGTAATTTCCCTACTAGGGGATTTGCTTTATTTTGTTTGTTTTATTTAGTTTTCATTCTGTGTTTTTCTGATAAACATACTTAGAATTTCGCTTTTTTGTTGCTTAGTCAGCCCTACCCAGTACTTGATGTAGTTAGTTTTTTTTAACAAGAGACGAGTTACCACAGACGAGAGACGAGTTCGAGCAGGTTGTTCCCTGCACCAAGACAGCCTTAGAAGCCTTCAGATGACTACCAGGATCCAGTCCCAGGCCATAGAAGCCCCTTTTGGCCTACTCATTCCCCTCAGATATCCCTACTATAAACCTCTCTCCTCATTTAAATCCTCTTCCTACAACTGGAGCCCACCATGAGGGGCTTCTGTCTTAGCCTGGCACCCATCCCAACCTTCCCAGATTCGCTTTCGTAGTTTCCAGCTTCATTTTCGCAATTTTTAGGCTCGGTTTAGCAGATTTCGCCTTTCGGTCTCATTTTCGCAGTCACTTCGCTCGCATTTTCGTGTTCTCCCACTCGCGCACACTCACATATCAAGCACTCGCACTCGTATTACCTACAAACTTCATGCTCGGCCTCAAAATTCTGTGTCGAGGCTCGCATGAAGCGCCAAGCTTCTCTGGGCACCCCGAGGACTTAGAATATTATTTCGATGTCATAATTGACTTCTGTGATGGATTTGGGTTCTCAGATGGGCCCATGCGAATCAAGTTTGCTCTCAAATATGCGCCGTTCGAGTCAGCTGACCTCTGGTCACATTTTGTGGATAGTAATGATGGAGATTGGGCTCATTTTACCTAGGCCGTAGTCCAGCTGTACCCAGAGCTGGAGGAATCCGGCAGGGACCGGTTTTTCTCATTATTTGGCGTCGCTCGAAAAGCAGAAGAAGCCATCATTCCATGTAGCTTCAGCTTTTTTTAGTGGGTTCCCGCCCAAGTTCAGATGCGAGGTATTCAGGTATCTTGACCCGCCAAGTCGAAGGGTTACTGTGTCTAGCCTTATGGCTTCAGTTAAACAGGTTCTCGCACTCGGCAATGGCCTCTGGAAGAGCCGCGAGGCCAACAGTTCACGCGCGCAGCCATCGTGCGCCTCAGGCGATCATTCCCCCCGCCGATCGTACTCGTTCTGCTTCCTCTGCGGACTTTCGGGCCATATTCGGGCAGGTTGCCATTCATTCAAGTTGTATTTAGCTTCGGGAAAGTGTCTACTTGTCGACGGCCGCGTTGTTCTACCTACAGGACAGGAAATCCCGCATGAAGTTGCCGGACGGACTCTACGAGACCGTCTCGACAACTGGTCTTCATTGACAAGCCAGTTTGAGACTCGTAGGGGCTCATTGCCCGCTCGCTCGCATTCACCCACAGCCACACCATCGCGCATACCCGCTTAGACGAGCATCATGTATCCTCAGTCCCTACCTACTGTCCAGCCCGAGCCAGCAGTACCCAACCCGCCAGCCATTCCATCTCGTCGCTCGTCAGCCGAGCGCTCTCGTAGCTCACCGCACGCGCAACCACAGTCGAGGTGGCCATGTGGCCGAGGCCAATCACCCTCGCGTCCTCGTTCACGGTCGCGCTCGCAGACTCGAATGGGTTCGTACACACATTTGAAAGATAAATTCATACCAGTCCGGTCGTATGCCTGCAGCTCGAAGCAGTATCGCGCTCGAAGGCGCTCGTATTCATACTCGACCGGTAGCTCACTCTATTCTTCTTCCTCGTCCTCATCCTCGCGCTCAAGGAAAGTGCATTCACGCACCCGCTCCAAGCCGAAGCGGTTGCGCAGCCGCAGTCGCACACCCCAGCGCTCTCGAAGAGCGCGTTAATGCTCTGTGTCACAGGAGTTCTTTTATGTTTTTCATTTCATTTTTTGCTTATGGATCCTACAGTGTCTGGTATGGATTGACCTATGTCGTTATGCAGAGTTTTCGGTACCTTATACATGTTTAGTTTTTCTTTTCTTTTGTTCTGCGTTTTACCCCCCAGGCTCGAGTTCCCCGCAGAACACCATTTCGCAACGCACCTAGCGCCTTCCCGCTCCCTACACAACGCCTCACATCCGTGGATCCAGTTCTGACGAAATTACTGCCGACACCGCTCGTCGCTCGTCAATGTGAACTCCCTCATACTGAGCACGTATCCAGCGCATATCTCGCTCGTTTTTGCGCCGTCTCTCTCGCGTTTTGGCAGGCTTATTACACTCGACGTCAGCTCTCTGTCGGTGCCAAGCTCGTTTGCATGCGCCCAGCCGTTCGGGAGATATTCGCATTTTTGTGGATAGGTCCATTCTCAAGGTCCTGTGGTTGTATCTCGCTCGTTTCCGCGTCGCGCCTCTCGCTTTTTGGGAAGATTGTAGTCCTCCACGAATTATCCGTGTGGATGTCTGGACTTTTCTGATAGGTCGAGTAGCTCCGGAGATATTTGCGTTTCTGTGCGAAGGCCCATCCTCGAGGTCTTGCTGTAGTCATTCACGCAGTTCTGCGTCGCTCCTCTCGCTTTTCGGGTCGTTCATCCCGCTCGCTGAACCCTTCCTGGGGACATCTACTTTGTAAAATTCTGCACCACCATTATCGAGATATCCGCGTTTTCGTATCCAGAGGGCTTCGAGACGGTTTCGCATATAACTCAGGATCGGGTGGTCCAATCGGCGTATTTATGCATTCTCCCTGTTCGTCCGGAGGTCCCATACTGCCTCCCGGAACTTCGTGTTGATCGTCCCAGCCGTTGTTGTGCGAGTCGACCCCTTCTCCCTGCCCTTGAGGTCCTCTTGTCGTATCTCGCGCATCCGACCACTGCTCCTCTCGCTTTCCTGGCAGTCCGTTCCCCCTGCATGGACCTTTCTGGGGACATTTCTTCTGTCAAATTCCGCGCAGTTATTGTCGAGATATGCCCATTTTTGTGGTTAGAGATACTTTCGGACGACTCTTTGAGTATCTCGCCCGTTTCTCGACCGGATCTCTCGCTTTTCTGGATCCCGATGCTACCGTTCGACAGCTTTAGAATGGTACCTTTTCCGTCGTCATCGCTGCAGAACTCGTGGCTACATTTGGCTTTTGGTGAATGGGGGTACCCTTGGGCAGATTTGTGGATATCTCAGGATCGGGCGGGCATGTGGATTCTCTCCGCTCATTTTGCAAGGTACTTGCCGCATTCCCTTCTGTCATCATATCTCGTATCGCGGCATTCAGAGCACCCGTTTTTTTTGTCGACGAGTCGTTGTCTCGCCCCCTCCCTCGTGACTTTGGATGCTTGTGTAGTCGAGTCACCTTCGGGTTGACTGGGGACAGTCAATATCTCAAGTACCCCTGGGATGTAGGGAATGTAATTTCCCTACTAGGGGATTTGCTTTATTTTGTTTGTTTTATTTAGTTTTCATTCTGTGTTTTCCTGTTAGTGGTACTTAGAATTTCGCTTTTTTGTTGCTTAGTCAGCCCTACCCAGTACTTGATGTAGTTAGTTTTTTTTAACAAGAGATGAGTTACCACAGATGAGAGATGAGTTTGAGCAGGTTGTTCCCTGCACCAAGACAGCCTTAGAAGCCTTCAGATGACTACCAGGATCCAGTCCCAGGCTATAGAAGCCCCTTTTGGCCTACTCATTCCCCTCAGATATCCCTACTAAACCTCTCTCCTCATTTAAATCCTCTTCCTACACCAGTGCACAGCACAGTAGCTCAACCCAGTCATGGTCAACAAGTACTGCTTGACCCCCAGAGGAATGCAAGTTGGAGACTGGTATGGGGGGAGGATGACTCCCAGAGGAATGCAAGTTGGAGGTCACAGGAATCAAGGAATGGTGATTCAAAAACTTCCTTGGGCAATGAAATGACATCTGGAATGTTGATCAGTTCTCTAGCCAGGGAGAGATGACAATCCAGCAACACCAAGTTGGAGGACTGTGACCAGAACACCTAATTCTAGTCCACTGGTCATCAACACCAAGCTGCCATGAGCACATCCAGTTAGCTGGCAGTGATAGATGAAAGCTGACCTTTTGATACACAATAGGCAAGAACAATGACACAGACAAGGGGTGAAAATGATGCAGATTTTATGGTAACTACAAGTACATAGCCACATAATTATGCTTGTGGGGGAAGTGCAGATGATGATGCAGATGATAATGCAGATGATGGGATTAAGCAGTTATTGCCCAAGCCATAAATACTGCAAGGATTTTTTGGAATAAGATGGAGGACAATAGGCAAATGACTGAAGTTATTGAAGAATGACTGCACATAAAATAATGCAAGCCATTTTTCCACTGCCAAAACATGCACTGGTGAGGCTGATGATGGAAGTGAGGTTCCCAAATCTGGTGGAAAACCTGGCCACAAAGTGAGCAACATCCAGAACCTCTTGACATATTCCAGCTTCATTTGGGGTTCTAGTGAGGCCAGACCTTGATCCATAACTGGGAATGGTTTGGTGAACATGGTAAGCTCTGAATCTCCCAGGAAGATCTGCATAAAAATTTAGTAAATGGATTCTTTTGAGGTGCAAGGCAAAAACTTACCTGACAGACTTGGTCCAGCCACTCAGGTTCCACACTCAACCAGAGGGTGGGCACCAGCAGACAGTCCAGGGCAACCAGCTCAAAGCAGAAATTGTACTCATACAGGTCCCAAAGAATCTTGCCCTTTGTTGCCAAGTCAGTGGTAGCAAGGTCTGTGAGATCAATTGTAATGTTGCAGTGTGAGTCAAAGTGTGGTTCAGTGGTGAAAACCAACCAAAACTAACACAAAAGACAAAAAGAGTGAGTGGTGGTGTGCCTATGCAGTACCTAGATGGTAGAACCTGTTCTTTGGGAGGGTTTTTGTGAGCTACAACACTCAAAGACGAGTGCTGAGGGTTGGGGGTGCTCCTGATGAAGAAGGAGCAGGAATGCGAGAGAATGCAATAGGGTAGACTGCTGTCAGCCTACAGAAGGATGGATGATGACTTAATTCGATGTCCTAAGCTGCACTGAGCTCAGGGAGGGCTTGGAGCAAAGTATATTGATGATAGACAAGGATAATCAAAGTAGATGATAGTTAGACCCTTAATAAAGTCTCAACTATCGAAGCTGCTGAATGAATTACTGAGTGATGATAAAATGCAAGCAAGAGGGGCTCTCTGATGTCTTCTTCTTTTGCTATCTAAGTACAGTGATTTATATACAGTACAGGGGTGTTGCCCTTGGAAAACAAGGTGCAAACACTTGGTAAGTGATTGGTAACTGATGAGTAAGGAATGTAAGTGATGCGTAATTGTCTTGGAAAGCATTGGTAAGCATTGGTAAGGATTAGCAAGCCAAAAAGCAAAGAATCAGTAAGCAAAGTCAAAAGATTGGTAAGTATTGGCAATAGGTGAGTCAAAGACAGTCAGAATGTCAAAGTATGAGTCAAGTGATGTCAGGAACTGGGAAAGCACACTGGAATCACATTAGGGGGAGGCTGTGCATGTCACATCTCAAAGAGATCACTTCTAGGCCAAGGTGGGATGACAGAGAGGCAGCACTGATCTGATGCTGATATAGTGCATCCAAAAGTGGACAGGGTGAGTCAGATGTCAACAGGGGTCAAGCTTTGGGGGTCTGTGGGGTGACAGGAGCATAGGGGATCACAACTTTCCCCCCCAAACCATCCTCTCAGTGAAGCAAATAAAAACTTCATGAATGAGGCTCTGTTGGAAGAGAGGATGAAGGGGGAGTGTCTTCTGCTGTATCTTGCAACAAGGAGGCAAGATGTGCATCATACTCATCATGGATGCAATCAGGGAGAGCGGAGAACAGTAGATTAAACTGTAGCTGTCACAATCTTGGAAGAATGATGGACAAGACCAGTATGAAGACATTGCAGGGAGCAGGGAGGAAGGATCCATATGCTTCTTGGACTGGAGAGACTGAAATGACCACATAAGACCTTTCCAAGCAAATGACAGACCTGAGGCAACCAAAGAACATCCTCCTAGAGGTCATACTGACAAAAAGAACACACTGTCCAAGCTGGATGGGCTGAGAGGGCACAGATGAGGGTGGGATGTACCAGGATGCTTCAGGATGGAAGCTGGTAGGAACTCCTGGTAGATATATGTAGCCATGGTCCCTAGCAAAGGGGACAAGTGAAATGATTGATGTAGAGGCAGCCATATCAGAAGAATTTAACGAAATGAGCATCTTTTGGAGGGAGTGCTGTAGAAATGTGTGGAGTGTGCAAATCCTTTCCAATTTTGGAAGGTAATATTGTGTGGCTGAGCACTACAAGCAAGTGTGGGAATGGTCTCTGTATCTGCAGAAATGGTGGAGATATGTTGAAAACCAGAATGCCATACATGGGCACTTAAGAATTTTAGCCAGCACTTAACTCGCTCCCTTTCTTTTTCTCTGGCACTGATGACTTGTTCTTGTGTGAGGGATGACTGCCAAAATTCCTGGCTGTCCTTCTTCACATGAGGGCTATGGTCTTCATCTCCATTCATCAGCTGTATCCATGTCCACCTCACCAAACACCTTTGGTGTGTGACAGCAGAACTGCACATGACTCAGTACATCATGCTGAATTTTCACAAACTCTGGACCAAAGATATCAGCAACTTCACATATTTGGTTCCCAGAAAAACTGGTTGAAATGCAGTCAGGAATTGTGTTAAGATAATCATGTCACAAACAGGGAATGACAGGAGATGCATCTGAAGCAGCAAGTTGCATGATCCAACCTGTTCAGGCCACCAACCAATTCTGGAGGTACCTCTGCCTCTGCTCCAAGGAATCACCTCTCATAAATAGTGCAGGGTGAGGGAAAAAATATGTGATTTTGGGCACACTGGCACAAATTCTCTTGGGGTCCTTGTTGACATCAGTAAGTGTGGCATTCCACAAGTAAATGTGAGTGGGGAAGGCAGGATCATCAAAATCCTGCAGCAAGTTGATGTTCAGAGTGGTGGAAGTCTTGGCCTTCTTTGAACCTGCAGAATTATCTGAGCAGATGGTTGTAAGTGTAAAGATCTTGATCAGTAATGAAACACCCACAAGGACTGCTGTGATGTTTAGCCCTATCTGTTCTGACAACTCCCAAGGCAGAGTCAGGTGTGCTGGAACTTGTGGTATTCAAGGCCACTGAGCCAGAGGTTGTGGAAGTTGACACTGCAGGAATTGGGTCTGGCCAAGGTGCCACAAATTGCTCAAGACCCACTACTGGAGCTTTGCAGGTGTGGACATGCATAGGATTGCCAGGGTAATACCACCTAGTGTTCCACTTGAGCATTTGGCCAACCTCAAACTCATCTGGGGTAGTGATAATGCCCTCTGGGCATGTAATGTTGACTTTGTGATGTATTTTCATATCCTTTGGCACTAAATCCAGCTTCCAGACTAGCCATACAGGGATGTGTGCTTCAAAGAGTTGCTCGCAGACATCAGGATCCATGGTAAATGCACCCATCCAACACTGTTTTGCATTAAAAAATGGGCCAGAAGGGGGGGTAATTTTTATCTCAAGGGAGTCTACCATAGTGTAAATATCCAGACAAAGATGTTGGAAGAGCACAACTAGGACCACTGTATCACAGAAGGTAAATGGGAGTTGCTACAGAATTGTCAACTATTGAAATATCAGACAATGAGATATCATACCTTCAGACACATGAGAGACCTTTGACATTGCCTAATCCATATGTGCACCCAGAGAGGTCCCTCATCACCAGGGTTCTTTGGTGGCCAGTTCTTCACCTGTTCTTCTAGTTGCTTATACACAAGTTCCAGATGCTTCCACTTGTTCAGATGAACCCTACCAACCCTGAATGCCAATCCTCTCTCCAAGGCAAAGTCTTCCAGCGCATTCCTGATGTTCCACCACATCCAAGACCATGTTGGGTCATCCTGATAGACTGCATGTCGAGGGATACATCTGGCTCACATATAACACTTGGCATATAGTTGAGGCCACTGGAAACAGTTGATGTGGCCAAATCAGCTGTCGCAGCAGAGTGTGATTATCCTCCCCTCAAAGAGAAATGGTTTGGGAATGAAGTCAGCATTAGGAGAGGTGATCCAGTGGTCATTATATTTCATGAGAATGCATGTGTTGAAGGCACCATAATTCTCTGAAAGAGAATGCATTGGTTATGAGCCACATTAGGTTAAATAATAGAGTGCACCATCACCTGGTTGGGTTGCTTCCATGACCTGTTGAGTGTGATCTTGAGGCATATCAATCCTATAAATGAAATAAGAACTGAAATATGTAGCACCTTAGTATGGATTCCACTACAGGGTCAATAAAAAAGTACCCAGGAGATAAGAGGCATTTGAAGGGGGGAGGAGATAAATAACGCAATATGGCTATAGTAGAATTGTTGAAGAATGCCCTGGCACTGAGTCAGAGTACCAGCCACAACATGGAGTCACATCATCCAATGTTCCTCTGACAACACTAGCATTGCTGGTATCTGTGAGACTGTCAAGGGGGAGATAAATGAGAAAACAAGTGGATCACACACCTACACAGTATATAGAACCTTGCACCTGGTGAAGATTTCATGCACTGACACTGGGCAAACAGTCTTCAATGCCCCAAGTTGCACTATGCAAGATAGCACCTCCATGAAATGGAGTCTCATCTGCATGACTGGTGCCATGAGCATGCCAAGTTTACTGAGATAGGCACCAAACCTATCTCAGCACTCGAAGGGCACCAAACCCTCCAAATCCTGGCAGAGGAATGTGCCAAACATTCCTCTCCATGACATGAATTGATAAAAAGAAAGAAGAAGAAAGAAGAACTCACCTTAGACAGTAGTGTGAAGGTGGTCATGGATTAAGATGCATGGATTGTTTGAAGGGCTTGCAAAAGAAGTGAAACAAGTGCAGTGAGCACATGATCATTACTGCATTAAGTCAGAGCTGACTTAGCATGAGAAATTTGCTGGCAGTGCATGCAGACTATTTGGTGGTGGCAATGTTATGATGCTGCCAGTATGCAGTCAGGTTCACACATGCAGGGCAGGCTAATTGGTGCCTGAACCTAATATATAACATATGTTGTAATGCCCCTGTGTTCAATTCAAACCAGAGTCCCAGAGGAAATACCGACAAATTAATTGTCATAGGTGTGTACTTAGTAACCAAATATACACAATGTTGACATGTTCACACACTTGTTTCCCTTCTCCACTCTCATCATCAATCCTACACCAGGGGAATGCTTGGTGCATCCCCTACCAAGCATCAGGGGCTTGGTGCCCTTGATGGCTCTCAAAGGCTTGGAGCCTTCAAGAGTTGTCTTGGTATGGATTGGCTGTTGGGTGCACAGATGAGACTCCATCTCATGGAGGTGCTACTTCATATAGTGCAACTTGGGGCATTGAAGACTGCCAGCTTTCCTTGGCTACCCTGGAGTCCATCTTTTACTTCCAAAATGAGACTCAGCTGTTCATGGGACATCCCATTGTCCTATGGAAAGGGGGCTGGGATGTCCCACAGCAGCTTCTGAAGCTATCATGGGACATCCCACTGGCCTCCAGAGAGGGGGTGGGATGTCCCACAGTAGCCTCCAAAGCTATCATGGGACCTCCCACTGGCCTCCAAAAATGGGGGGTGGGATGTCCCATCATTGCCTCTTGGTTGTTCTACATAGATGACCTTGATGAACATGTGACTAAAGGTGAGACTGAACCAGCACTCTCCTGGGTGTTGACCTTGTGGTTTAATCACTGAGCTATATGGTTTGAGTACTAATGTCAGTTACTTTGGGGTTAGATCAGAACTTTGGGAATAATTATCCATGAAGAGTAATACACAGAATGCACCATCTCCAACAGACTTCAGTGGTCTTTGGCAACACAAGTCCACCCTTCCTTTGAGAATCAACAAAGTTCAGTTTTCTGCCCATCCTGGCTGGATAGTTACTTGAAGCACATGGTGGTCCACTGCAGGGCCTTACAGCCCAGGGTCATAATGGGACAGTGGGGTTCTCACATGCTTGTGCCCCACAATTGTGTCATGTATTGTGCTACAATCTATTCCTTGGCTGGGAAGGTCTTCCACTCATCCTCATTCAATGCATTGAGTATGATCTTATTAATGTGTACTCCTTCTATAAGCAATGGAACTTACTCATAGGACAGTGCTGAACCTGTTAAAAATTATACAATGATGCAAGGCTCACTTCCCTCCAACCCACTCTGGAGACTCTCCAGGCAATGCTGGGGATTCTCCAACCCACTCTGGGGATTCTCCAAGCACTGCTGGGGATTCTCCAACCCACTCTGGGGATTCTCCAGGCAATGCTGGGGATTCTCCAACCCACTCTGGGGATTTTCCAAGCACTGCTAGGGATTCTCCAGGCAATGCTGGGGATTCTCCATGTTATGTCCAGGGGATTCTCTAACCAACTCTGGCATGTCTATGTTGGTAGCTACTGAGAACTCTTCCCCCTGAAGCCTAGGGCAGAGCCCCATGCCCTTCACATGGACATCATAGCTCTAGTGGATGTCTGGTTCCATGGATTTCACATTCCTATCTCACACATAGCAGTTTGCACCTAAATCCAATCTGTATTTATGATAGGGTATGCTATCAGATTGAATATGCATAGGTGTGAGGAGAAAATGAATGGTCTTGTAAGGGTATTGTAGTTATGATGGTAACAAAAAGACCATGGTGGATAATGGATGAAATGAATGATGGCAGACATTACACAAAGGAAGGATATGCAGGGGGAAGATGATACAGCCACAGGGTATCATAGTTACATGCTAACAATGCAAACATGTTGAACTGGTGTGTACATGAGCCAGTAGCAAGTGATTGATCAAGATGAAAACATGCCTAGTAGTGATTGTGTTGATCATGGGTGTGATAAGAATGTCCATCAGAGTCATCAGAGTCATGACAACAATGTCTCTTGTGGGGAGGGCTTCAATAAATGTATTCAACCACACTGTGCATGTTAGTCTCATTGTACATGTAGGCTACCCAGCATCATACCTTCAGTGAGTTCTTCCCTGTTGTGAAGGACCACCATGATCACTCTCATTGTCCTGATATCCTCTATAGTGCTTGAGTGACTCATGCTGAGGGTGGTGGCAAGGACATGGGGTCAGAGAGTAGTTATCAGAAGGGGGGTGACAATGATATGCAGCTGCTGGAGCAAGATATGTGTGATGATCACCATGCAATGATGGACCTTGTGGAGATGACTGCAGTGACTCCTTGACAGGGGATGAAGGAGGGAGAGGGGAGTGGTGGGATGCTGGCTGAGTGGAACAAGGTCCATAGGATGGCAATTGCCCTCACCTCAGGTGGTGTGATCCTGCAGGAGAGGGGTGATGTATGCAGGATGGTGATTGCTGTCATCGGGTGTGGTGGGATGTTGAGGGAGACACATGGTACCACACAGGTGGCTGGGGTAATCTATAAGCTGGGGATAAAGAAGGCACAGTCATATGGTGGGTGTTGGATGCTGCTGGAAAGGGGTGATGTCTGTTGGATGGCACTCATCCTTGCACAGGTTGGTCAGGGAAAGATGAAGGGGCACTTCTCTCCTTGAACTTGTCACCTTTAGGGAGGGCCTTAACAAATGCATCTGAATCAGAAAGAACATGGAGGTGCCAGTTCAATGTGTTCACCACAAGTGGGATGTCACACATCCTTGCATCACTGTGGTGAAATAGCTCAATCTGATCTGGATTATTCATGTCAGTGAGGGTGACCATTTCATGTCAACAACTCACCATCAGTCCACTTCTTGAGGTAAAATGATGAATTCAGCAAAGGGACAAGGTATTCACCATGGTTGACCAAAGAGTCTTGCCATACTCATCTGCAATCACCTGGGCTTCTTGAGTGGTGCACATGCCAAGTGCCTGTGCCTTTTGTATGGCTTCCAAGGGAAGCTGCCCTGGTTTGAAGTGTGGTAAGCCTGCTTCTGCACTGGATGCATCCTCACATTGACTGAGGTCACTGGCTAGGGTAGGTGCAGAGGGTGTGACTACTACCTTGCAGAAGGCATGATGTTGTCCTTTTGGTATCCTATGCATCCTGGTCATCTCCAAGCCATCAGGGAGGTCTCCAGTGTCACTAGGTCCATCCTCATCTTCAGAGGATGTGTTGGCTAGGGCATGAGATTTCCCTTTGGCTTCCCTATGCCTCCTGGTCACAGAGCTGTCAGTGTTGCCTTTGGTATCAGCAGCTCCATCTTCTTCTGATGAGGATGGAGAAGGGAGAGGGGGTGTGGAAGGATGGATATCAGTATCATAATTGCCAGCACAGATTTCTCTCAGGGTTTGTTTGCATTTAAGGTCATGCCTCTGGTCAGCTGACCAATCACTGTCTATTCAATGACACATGTAAATTATGTGAATAATGCAGTTTAATCAAATAAACAAACCTGATGCACTTTCATGCTCAACATCACCATGATGAATGGAGTCCATCATATTTTCAACAGCTTGGTGACCATCATGATCCACCAGGTTCTCTGAGACCAGATCACCTTCAGCTTTCACCATACTCTCAACAGCTTGTTCATCCTCTTCACTGTCATTGGGG